TTAGCTAGGCGGTCTTAAACTTTTGGCCACTTTTGAACCATGTATGTAGCTGAAAACTACAGGTTTGTAGTGATGAATGTACCTGTGTGGCAGGATATGATATGCCATTGGTGATTACTTTGTGTGCATTCGTGCTGCCAATAAGCCTAATATTTTATCCTCTGACTTCAGTGAAATTTTATAAACACATAGATATGTTTAAAAAAAAGAAGCGTTTTGATTTTCTTTTTTTGCTTGTTAATCCTTTGATGCATTTTAACTCATTATACCCCATAAAATTAATACTTCAACCCTATGGCTGCGAGAAGGCTAAATATAATCACATCCGGGTTGTGTTACTGCCCCAGTGAGTGCAAATATAGTGGTATTTATGCAGTCGTCTGTTCTTGAAAAGCGTAGTACCTCTGGATCTGTGTGTGCCTGCATAGTCTTTAGGGAGCCCGGTTGTGAATATATTACTAAATGTAGCACTTAGAAATGTTCCCCATGGAATTGAATAGCTTTTTTTAACAGTCAGTTTGACCTTTCCTGTAAGCCTCAGTGCTAGAGATCATGACATGACTTACCTGATAAATATCTGTTTTAGCCCCAGGGAATGCATTCCATTTAAAACTTCTCTATTCTTGTTTATTTAGTACTCCATTTTTATATTTAGAACTTTAAAAAAAAAGATGTTAATAAAACAGTTTTTACACAATTAATTATTTACTTTGTATAAAATAGTTTTTTAAAAAGATTATGGAAATTCCCACATGTTGATGGCATATTTTTTTTTGCATTTGCTAAGCAGAAGGTGAACTAAAAATGGTTTGCTGGAGTATATAAATAATAAAATTATTATGAAGAGACATTTAAAGCAGCAGCTGGGGTAGGAGGATGAGTTGACAGCTAGATTGGGGGGAAGGGGGGGGGGAGGGCTGTGAATAGTATATGATGTCAGGTGCTTATTGTGATCTGTTTGGCGTGCGGATTGGAAGTTGGTGGGTTTGCTCCCTGGCGGAGCCGGATTTTTTTTTAAAGAATAGCCCTGACTCTCAGGTACACTTAGCCTTGAGTGGGTACCGGGTGCAGTCCCAGGAAGTAAAGGCGGCCGGTGTGATGCTGACCACATCACCCATCTTGTGCCGTTTAGTTTATAAAAAATATAGGTCTAGCCCTATGTGCCCTATAACCTAAAGGCATGGAAAAGGGTCCTTGGCTTTAAAAAATTTTTTTTTTAACCTAGCAATAATGTTATGTCACAGACTGGGACAGATTTTATTTAAATTGAACCACTTGGTACTAAATAATGGAGGATGCTGAAGAAAAACTGGCGTAAATAACCCATTTTTTTTTTAAACGCTACAGTCAGTTTAATCTCAATAACTTGTTTTTCAGTGTAAATGTGGGAGGCGATCATAAGAAGAAGGTGAATAAGAGCATACCCTAGGCACATGGGACAGATGCTGGACTCATATTTGTATGGACTACTTGACCACGACCAGCTCCAGCTGACGGGCCGTGCTGCTGACGTCACCGAGTCGGGCTAACGATGCGTTAACGCAGCGATTCTAAAACTGGGTGCAAAGGCACCCTGAGGTGCCGTGAGCGTATGCCAGGGGGTGCTGTGGCAATATTCAAGAAAAATTGTGAAATTAATTTAAAAAAAAAGGAATTTAGTTACTAAAAAGTTAAAATTTAAGTTGTCCTTCCTCGCCACTGTCGAAAATAGTTTATTTCTATTTTTTTTTTTTTTTGAGAACCACTGCATTAACGCATGGTTAGCCTGACCTAGTGACGTCAGCAGCATGGCCCCTCAGCTGGAGCTGGTCCTGACTTGACACTGTGTGGCTGATGTAAAGGTAAAAGTAGAGTGTTATGACGGCCACCTTTACTACTTCCCAGGATATGATCTGGTACCCATGTTAGGTCGACCTGGTTGTCAAGAGCCTGTGTGGCCATGGGATGATTGTAGGTGATAATAGTGAAGGGCGGGGTAGTGAGTGACTACTTTAGCGAATCACTGTTCAACAGCCCATGGGAGTTTGTTACTAGGAAAGCATGGTGAATGAGTGGAGACTCGGGTATTCAGGGGGGCCATGGGCAGAGTTCCCCATGAACAGTAGACTGGACAAAACGGACTGAACAGAGGTTGTTCGGGGAGTTGGTCTTGACGGCAATAAGCATGTCTCTGACACTAGTAGTCAAGGATTTGAACCCATGACCTTTGGGCCATCAGGCATTACGCTAACACAGCTCCCAGGCTTAGCGTGGTGAGGACAAAAATGAAACATTGTTCAGAGTGTTTTTTCTCTTTCTTGAACCAGGCAAGCGGAAGAGAGACAGCACCGACGGTAACATCCTACCATCATCTTCTACATCAGCACCTTCATTGAAGTTGAAACAGAAGGTATCTCCATCTGTTACTCAGGCACCAGTTGTTATGGTAGTTGCTCAGCATTCATCAGCGCCAGGCCTACGCTCCCTGTTGCCCAGAAATGCCCTTTTATCACCGGCCAGCCCATCCACCGGACAAATCGTCCAGCCAACGGCAGGGAGCATGCTGGGTTCCTTCCCACTGCTCTCCACTCTTCCTATCGGAGCCAAAGCGGTGAGTCTGGCTAGCTTTCCTCCTGGCGTAACTGCTGTTCCTGTGTCATCACTTCCTCCAGGCTCGCAGCCAGCCATGACTTTCTTCACAACGGTTCCCGCCAGTATGGCCACGGCTATGCCTCTCCCCATTGCTGGAGCTAACCTTGTGAGCATCCCCACACCAGTCCAACTCATGAACAGTTCATCATCTCCTGGTATGAGTATTAAAACCACATCGTCATCTTCAGAGTCGTCACTACTGCCACCCGCAAAGACTTTAGGCGCTTCCTCAGCTCCGAGTAACTCGGACTCCCTGAGGGCGTTGCTTGTGGGGAAGCCTTATACTTTTTCTAGAGTTGCCTCAGCCACCTCGTCCCAGCTGCAGACAGCACCGATGTTGTTTCAGATGGTGACCGCAACAGCCGCTAGCCTGGTTCAGAACTCGACACCACCGCTGGCTGTGACAGCATCAGCTACTGCTTCAAGCAGGCTCAAACATCCTTCTGTTAGCAAATCCAGCTACTCATTACTCAAGTCTCACACGTCAGGTGGGCCCAACGGCATCTCCTGCCTGACTCCTCCAAAAACTCCAGACACAGACAGCTCATCAGAAGTTGCTGTGGCAGCCTCCCTCAGTCGAGTGAGTAAAATTAGCAAAACTGACTAATTCTCTTTTTAAAGCATCACTTTTGTTTAATCTTCTTGAACTTTTCTGAGGTCTGTATTGAAACTTTCTTCCTTGTTCCTCCGCTAGGTCTTTGAAGCTATTTCAGAACATGTGGTTGATCATTCTTTCTTTAAATTAAAACTATGAAATCTGACTTCCTTATCATATAATTGAGGTTTAATTAATCTGTTGTCCTTGTATTCTTCTCTTCCTCATCGTAGAGTCTTTGAAGATATTCTAGGACATGTTTTTATTTGTATTTTTCCGTGACGGCTCATCAGCAGCGGCCATGGCTGTCTTCTTCAGTCTAGTGAGTAAATTATTTAAACTCTAATTCTTTTTTTTGAAGCATTACTTCTTTATGCTTTTGTTACCTTTCTGAGGTCTGTATTCTATCATTCTTCTTTAATTCAACGAGTGTCTGATTTGAACGAGCAGAAGGGGTTCATTTAATAACTATCTGTGATAGAACAGAAAAAGTAAAAGAAGTAGATTTTATTTGGACAAACCGTAGATCGTTTGGTGAGTTGCTTTGAAGGGAAAGAGTTAAATATCACTTTAGCATCACCTTTTTTGAACTTTTTCTGTATTTAATCTTTTTTGATTAGTTCAGCGAGTATCTGACTTCACTATAACAAGTATTAGTTTATCAGTGGTTCTTGTATTCTCCTCCTGTGTCTTTAAAGCTATTTTGACACATGTTTTTGATCATTCTTTCATAGTTCAGTGAGTATTGAAACTATGAAATCTAGGACTCTCATGGCCTTCCGATCAGTATATCTGTTAGAGGACTTTTATTGTTCACACAGAATATTTTCTGTGAATGCTTGATTACAGGGAGGTAGACGTCATGATGCATCTTTCAACTTGAAAGCATTTGAGAAGATCAAATGTGTACCTCCTGACACCATCCTTCCCCCAACATAATCTGTTTTGCTAGTAACAATGAACTATACAGATCTGTAGAAAAGATTTTGCTTTCGCTTCTTTTCTTCTGCCGTTTATTATTCTTTGGAACGTAAAGAACTCATGTCAAAGCCATCTAATCTTTTACCATCTCCTTCAGATCACCCCATGTCCTCATGCTGTTCATCTCTGTCAGTTCTCTCTGTGTTTCTAGGCTTCTCTCTATCTCTCTCTCTCTTTTGCCCAGAGGGTTCCATTCTTGAAAAAACTTAGAATAGTGTAGTCTTGAATGTGAGGATTAAGGACCACATGGCTAGTGTCGTCCCTCACAAACTGCAGGCGAAGATGGTTATTTTTGGCCCCGCCGGAGAACAGTCACCTTATCGAGTATTCAAACTCTGGTTTCCAGCCTAAAAGACTCTTGAGCAAAGTTTTTCACAGGGACACAGATGAGTATCATTTATATTGTACATCAGAGTCCTGTGTAGTCACTTCATAGTTGGAGCATATTTGTGTGTGTACTATGTTTTTCTTTATGTGCTGATGAAGGCTAATCGCTGCAACGTCCTTTGTTTATTGTGATCGATTTTGTAAAGCTAACATAATTTGTTCTTTCTTACCCCTCTTCTTCTTCGTCTTCTTCTTCTTCTTATATAATTCTTCCTATAATTTCCTACCTCTTAAAAAAAAAACAACCTAAAAGACTGGCTTACTTACCACTAGGACTGCTACTCCTCTGCCATATAAAAACAGTCAAATTATACTGTAATAAGTTTCTCCCAGCGTGTCCTATCCAATTCCTATGTATCTTGTCTGGTTTGATATTTATTGGTTTATATATATTTTTTTCCACAAGCCTGTGGCAGGTCAGGTAGAAGACAGTGAAGTGATTCCCCTGTGCTGTTGTAAGATAAATGGTGCTTCTTTCAACAAGTTGTTCGCAGATGTCACCTACTGCCAGGCGCTAGACACGGTTGACAACAAGGTATGTCAGATTTTACCACATTTCTGCCAGTACTGTCTGCCTCTATAGTTTGTCCAGAAGAAAAAGGATATTTAAAAACATGTACAAGATAATTCTTATTAATTTATAAGAAGAGAATAACTACTTTCCTTTCCTTTGATGAAGAGAACAGAACATGAAGATCAGTGCAAACAAAACTGAAACAATGCAAGTGAGTAGAACCTCTGGCCCACTGCACATACACCTGAATGGTTCTGGTCTGAATCATGTTAGGGATTAAATTAGATTTGAAATATCTAGAGTTTAAAATTAAGAGTTTACATATCTAGTATGATCTAAATATCTAGGAAAATGATCATGGAAGATGGTTGAATTGACAAATACAAACCAGATGTCAGAAAGCAAGTGCACTTATATACCAATTGTCACCATTATTAAGACATCCAAGCATATCTTTGAGTGCAAGGAGACAGATTATAAACAGCCTATTCATTCCAACATTAAGCTACCAGTGCCAAACATGAACACTATATATAGCCTCTATATGCAAAGTCACCACCTGCGAGATAAAATGCCTGAGAAAAGCAGCCAACCTAACCATCCGAGATCGAGTGAATAATGATACTGTCAGGCAAATTGTGGGAATGACACCGTGTACTAGTTTCATAGAGAAACAGCAGATCAAGTGGTTTGGCCATCTCATTAGAATGCAGCAAGATAAAAGACCACAGGTATTACATCTCAGAAGATCAGCTACAAGAAGACAGCCGCGGAAAAAATTGATCAATAACATTAAAGATGCCCTACACCTTCACGGCATGACAATAGCCAGTGGCAACTAGTGTGCACCGGATCGCAAATTATTCCTTCCCACGACGCTTAACGGCAGAAGTGGTCTATGATGATGATGAAGAGAACAGGGGTTGCGTTGACACAGCTGCAGAGAGCAAAGTGACACCATAAGTTTATTATGATGTCACAATGACAAAATAAAAAATAAAAATCTCAAGTTTTCACCGCAAATAATATCTCAGGATTTGTGTATGTGTAAATATAATCATGCCTACCACATCTAGACACTATGCAGTTGCAGCCAGTGCCAAAGCAAAGCAGTTGTTTAGGCATATTGTCGTGTCATCAAAAACCCATAAAAGTCAGAAAACTGGATTTCTCATTATGGCAGTGTTAAGTGAGCACTTCTTTTTAATATGTATTCTTTGTTAATTTTGCATGTTTTTGTTCCTTTGACTTGAGAAGTAAATATTGATTGTGTCCTGTTGATCCCCACCATAACAGGTATTAGGGTGTTACAACAAAGTCACCAACCCACAGCTGGTAAGGCCGGGCATCAAGATCCCCTTTATGGCAGTCTGTGAGGTCCATCGCAAGCGATTGAAGCTGCATCAGTGCTGCCCAGGCTGTGGTCATTTTTGTTCACAGGTAGTCTGTTCAAACTGTACGGCTTGTTTAGAGATGTCATTACTTTTGCTTTTTATTGTTGAATTAAGAATTGACATCATAACACTCAGGACACTCCCATAAATTCTCTGTCCCCCATCTTCAGCAGCAAGCGAAGAGTTTTAATTCCTGTGGTATCATATCAGTAAGTGACTGATTGTACATCCGTCTCGCCTTTCCCTTGAGTGTTGAGCGTCTGTCAGATCCACTGTTGACTCCCAGCAGCGCTAGTCTCCTCAGACAGTAATGATCTGTGTGTGCCACCGCACTGTTCACTCAGTCTATCTGCCTGCTCGTTTCTGAACACATCAGCATCATCTGGAGGAAATATTTAAAGGGCACTAGCTTTCTATTGTAGCAAATTTCATAAGGTGTCTTTCTTTCTTTTAATTAGTGTCTTTGTCTGTGTCTAAACTATTCTCTCTTGCCTTGTATTCAAAGACTTGAATTTTTGACACACCAAATGATTTAGTTAATTGTAGTAAACTATAATTATGTGTGTGCATGTATAAACCTGCTTGTATGCACACACGCACGCTCACACATGGAAGAACTAGATTCTCCCAAGCAAGCAGTGGTGGATAGATGGAATATTAGAGACTGAATACCAGCATCTACGTAGCCTGCACCAAATGCCTCTTCAAAACCTGATGCTGAAATGCCCGAGCTAGAGAAAAGAAGAAATACATCAACTATATTAACATACCAAAGTGAAAAAGACAAGGACTTTGACTTTAGTTGAAGGGACTAGTATACTTTATTTTCAGATTGTATTTCTCCTCTTAGCATGTTGGAGCAGTTGAAATTTGCACCCAAGTACTTATAAGTTTCTGTTCATATGATTTTATATTATCGACTTGTATGTGGCCGTAGTTTTTTCCCCCCCTTTCCCTGTCTTGTTATTATCATGTATTCGGTCATTGTGGATTGAAATAACAAAAATGGGTACTTTAAGATTATTAAAACCATAAGTGCTTTCTAACTGACAGGGTAAGTTCCAGCAGTGCCGAAAGGAGGGCCAGTCTTCAGTGCACAACTTCCACAAGCAGTGTGTCTTCTATCGGGGAGGGAAGTACTATTGCCCTCACTGTGGCGAGGAGACCAATCAGTGTGAGGTGGAGTTGCAGTTCAATGGGGACAGGCCAGAGCAGACAAAGATGATCACCTCACGTGCTGTCAAGAAAGAGCCTGAGTGAGTAATGTGTTTGGTATTTTTATAATGTTTAAACATTAGTTCATCAAAAACTCCACATGTAAATATTGCCTGAAGATTTTATATAGCATTGTACTAAAGGCTATCGAGGTACACATGTTAGTGTACTTACTTGCATACCAGAACAAGGGTCTTGGTTCAGTTACCAGTCATGTCAGAATTATTCCTGAACATTTTGTCTCTGGGGGATGACACATCCATAGAAATAGAGACACACAATTTTCTTGAAGTCGCTGGGAGACTAATCCAATCAACTAATACCAGAAGGAGTCAGATGTTTTGACAGAGAGGCATCTGTAACGCAGCTCTGCTGTAAAATGACAAAATCATTATGTCCAGTAAAAAAAATGTCAAAAACAATTTCTTTGGGAATTTTCTGGGAATGATCGACGAAGAAGAGAAGTGCAGGTTGTGTAAAGAACCTCACTCCTTTAGCAATATATGCTGAGGGATAGGCTAATTTTTGTCTAATCATCATTAGCCATGGGCAAATCCTTTGTGGAACTCCGCTCTCATCATCAGTCTGCCTGAAACAAACTGTCTCTCGCTCTCTCTCTCTCTCTCTCTCTCTCTCTCTCTTCCCCCCCCTCCCCCCATTTTTTGTGTGCCTCATGCACTTTCATACACATCTTCTTGCTTGTCAGCTCCTTCCTGGCACCATGACTTCTGCTATAAATTAAAAAAAAAAAAAATCAGCCATGGTGCTTGATATGGCCAAAATATTTCAGCTTCCAAGACAAGATACTATCAACCAATCTTCCCTAATGTGAAAATATTTAGGATGTCACTATTTCTTTCCTCCCTTGTCCATGGTATTCTGAGAATCTTTCTGTATATAGCATTTCAACTCAAAAGCTCCTGTTTTCCTTTTTTATTTAAGGACGGCCACATAGTCCATGACTCACGCCCGTATGTTGCTACAGGGAAGATGCATGCTCTCAAAATTTTAATTTTGATTTCTTTGCTGGAGACTTAATGCTACAACCATCCTTCGTGTGTATGTCTGTCTGTGTAATATATTGCCTTATAAGTTATAATAGTTAAAGTTTATTTAACTTGTGGGTTGATGATGTTTATTGACATTTGAATTGATAAATGTTTCTTTTTGTAAAGGAAAAGAACGGCCCGTATATGCTCTAAAAACTTTAAGAAAAGTAAATCGGCAAGTGCTGTCAAGGTCAACGCCATTATGCTTCCAAACAACAAATCCATAAATATCGGTGAGTTTAATGCTCAGGTACAGGCAGTCTAGATATACACACAGTTCAGTTTTCATTGTTTGTGATTAGGTGTGTCTTACCCCATATGGCTTAGTCTGAGAATGGCTAGCGACTTGTGGAGATCGTTGCACAAAGCCCAAACAAGCTCTAGCGACGATCCACAGGGATCTATCTCTGTAAGCACTGTCACTTGTGAACTGAAGGAAGCAGTTGTTGAAACAAACCACTGGCCTTAGAGCACAAGATAAACAGTTCAACCACTTGGCCACTTTTTCTTTCCCATTTGACGATCACAGTCTTAATGGCATGAAAAGGTTTATACATGGAGAATTATATTTGTGAAAACCTCGTTTAAAGGCAGAAAAGATAAGAGGAATGAAAACTAAAATGTTATTCTCCAAGTTCTTGTTAAGAGTGCTTGAGATTTTTCTTGTTGCCCTTTTTTTAAATCTTATTTTTTAAAAAATAAATCGGGGGTTGGGTGGTCCTTGCCAAAAAATTCAGGGGTGGTGGCTCCACCTGAAAAAGGCTGAATACCACTGAACTAAACCCTGTGTGTAAATCATGTTCTACTTAGGTCTAATTTTAGCTTGTGTGTGTGTGTGTGTGTGTGTGTGCTGAATTATGTTATGGTTAATTTTAATACAGAATGCTGAACAAAATTGATGAACATGAAATGAGAGCAGTTTAAGTAAAGCAAAGAAACAAGTAGAATGTCCAGACATTTGCTTGTATCACTAAACAGACAGTAAAATGGGGAAACAGATGGACTGATAAAAAAACTGATGTCCAAGAGCAACCCTAAGATGAATGTTGTTAAGAGAGGCCAAATGTGCTGGACTGGATTTTATCCGTGATGATGAAAAGATGGTACAGGATACAGTTAACAAACTTTTTTTTCAAGGGTCACAAATTGGGCTTACGAAGAAGTATAATAATAAGTGCACATACATAGAATCACTCATACAAACATGCAATCTGACATATATATATATACACACACACACACACACACACGCACGTATGCACACACACATGTAGACATTTATACACCTACACATACACATTCATACATATATGCATGCATACATACAGACACAGAGATGCACCCATGCATACACACACTCACACATAGGAAGGATAGAATGAAGGGCTAGACTAGGAGCCCTATGGAATATGCACAACAGGATGAGGATGAATCTCCACCAGTCTGTATGTGCTGTGCTGAATTATGCCCTGGTTAATTCACATACAGCTCTGCATATGTGATATTTCAGAACCACACTTACGCATCCTTCTGGTTTATAATTACAGAGAGAGAGGACAGAGCTCAAGCCTCATTGAGACAGAAGAAAGTGGTTCAGAACAGTTACATAAAAAAGTAAAGGTAAAGTCAGGAGATGTGAACCATCGTCATGGTTACAAACCATAAGTTCTCTGCCACTAGTACGCACAGCTGATAAGAAACTGTCCGCCTGTATTGCCGTCCGCACGTAATTCCGTAGCTACAGCGACGTTCCTCCATTCACCCTAGAGTGTCAACTCTGGTACCCATTTCCTAGAGGCTAGGTGAACCCTGGGAACCGCCCAGGTTTCTAACACCGGCCGTGGCTGCAGCGAGTCGCAGCTGGATTTGAAAGCGAGTCTCCTATCGACTGCGCTAATGCGGCTCCAGTTACATGTAGGCAGTCATTGTACATTTTATGAGAAGGAATCAGTTTGAAAACTTGGTAACAGCTATCAGAATTAACGGAGAGAGAGAGAGAGAGCAAAGAGATAAACACTGAATGGCCTGGCCAAATGGATCGGGCTTACCTGCACAGCACATGATGATTATGAATACCTTGGGTTTTATAGTGTAAAATTCAGTATTCCAGAGGATGCATGAACCTGCCACAGCAATGGCCTGTTGCTTCTTAGATTTTCTGTTGTACTCATCAGTTTGTATAAACAGTTTTTTGCATCTTACTGAGTTGGTACCTGCCATTTCAACAGATGCCTTACCGTTAGGACCAGAGCAGCAAGCACTTAGCAGACTGATGCGGTGTGTCAATGACGAAAGGTGAGCTAATCATTTCTGCTTCACTTTTATATGAGAAAATGGTTAGTTTGACGTTATTCTCCCCAAACAGAGTAGGTCACTTTTCATTCACAAGTTTGTTGGGCTTGTGGACTTACCTGAAGGTTACGGGTGTGTCCTGCTCTGTTGTTTGGTTTCTGCAATGTCTTGCATTTACGTTTTCATTTAGATTAAGAGAATGCCTGTGTCAGAGGTTGCAGCACTCTCTAGGGGGGATATGTTGGACCCAGTTTCTCCATGCTTTTGCAGTGTTAAAAACAACATGCGATATCAGCGGCATTGCGGAACACCCCTGTAACTATGTGTGAAGGTCACGGGGCTCAGGGACTACCAATCAGAAGTGAGCTAGTGTGTATATGGGCGGGGTCTGGGAAGACAAACCTCGAACTAGCCTAGAAAATGTTTGCCAATGCAAGCTACTGTTGCTGGTATTCCATGTGTGGGTTCAGGGACCCCATTTTGGGGTGTGGGTGGAGGATAGTTCCACTTTCACCCCCAACATGCTTGTCTTCAAAGGTGACTAATTAAGGTTGTCTCCCCCGAAGTCCAAGTGCATCTGTAAGGAACCACCAGTCTGGAATTAAATAAACCAGATCTGTAAAACGAATATGTGTGCCTAATTCTGAACTGAAGCCGATGAAGCTAAGAAGAATAAGTTGATGTAAATTCTGTAGTAATGCATGAGATACTGCACAGTTTGCCAGCAAATACGTTGTGCAGTATCTTGTTTGTGCTGTCATTATTTAAATAATTACTTCACACGTGTTCTCTCCCAGGCCTAACTTTGGGGAAGCAAGAATAGTCCCACTGCCCCCACCCCACACCCAAGTATGTCGTGTGAAATGCGACTAATTCAGGATTTTCCCTCCGAAATCGGAGCGCATCTGTTTGAGTGGTAAAGAACCAACAGTCTGCATAAGAAAGGTACGCCAGATCTTTAAAACGTATATGTACGCAAAGTTCTGGACACAAGACATATCTCCAGAAGTGGACGAACTACCAGAATTTTCATCTGGAATTAACAGCCGTTAATCGCTAAGTAGAAGAAGAAATATTTACTTTCTAATTTAAAAAGGCCACTGTGGTGAATAGTTTACCATTGAATTCATTGTGACGATGAGAAACCTATTCTATCCAGTTTGTGTGGGAACACTTTTAATGCTGACAGATAAAACTGAAAGAGTCAACTTTATTGCACTGGATTATCCCATGTAACTCTGCAAAACACCCAGCACCTGTTGAGAGTGTTGTGCAAAGCATGAACCCTAAAAGCTCCTACAACCATCCCCTGGGATCTCCATCCCCTGGGATCTCCGTTAAAAACTGCACCCATCAACTGAACGGCACAGCCAGAAAACTAACTTATTTAAGAATTCATTGGTTTACATGCTAACTTATTTTCATATACTGTTTGATGGGGTTCACTTTTCAGACCAAAGAAGTATAGAACATTGCCAAAAGATCTGTATACACCTGCTTACGAGGGAGATCTGGAGAAGGTGTTTTTCTTACTAGGTAAGATGGTGTCATTTTCAGCAGTTTGTAGTTTTAGTTGGAGACGTTATCTTTCTGTCTTTTCCAGTCAATAGCATTCCATTGTTCTCTAGAGAAGATTAAATCACAACCCATGGTAACACCAATTAAAGCCAGGGATGTAGTTTATCCTCTCCGCAGCTTCCAAGTAATTTTTTTCACTAATGTACCAACTGCCCATGGTTTACTTTCGTAAATCAGGATAGAACTTGTATAGCTTTTAAGATTTCTCTTTCTTATCTCAGTTGACAAGGAAAGATTGCATAGGTTTTTTTTTTCATTTTGTAACTTTTGTGTTCATGTTCTGGTGTGGTAACTATAGCTTTTGATTTGAAGATATCACACCTGCCTTTTACTCCCCTTTTATATTTAAAGGTCTGCCACAAACTTCATACTTTTTAATAGCTGTTATAAAATTAGAACAAAAATAAAGAGAAAAAGCATATTTGAATTTTAAAAAATGGGGCTGGGGGTTGTTTTTAATTTTTCTAAACGATATCACAAGCCCCTTAAATCTGTTCTGCTGACCCCCAAGTGGCAGCCATTAGTCTTTCTATCTGAATCCTTTCCCCCAGTCAGTAATGTCAGTTTGTCATCGCTGGAGCGTTGGTGTTTCTGCATTGTGTGACACTCTCGTCAGATGGCTAGCCGTTGTGCCAAGAAAGGGCTAGCCATATAGAATACTACCCGGTGTAGTGAAATCAGTCCTCTCGCCATTAACCTTAATCATATTGCTTCAATGAAACACTGTTGTTAAAGAGGCAGGTTGAGACCTTTTTGTGCTTTAAATATGTGTGTTGTCTGATCCCTACTTATTTAATCTTCTTCTGTGACTGCTAATCAGTGCGATTTGAAATTGGATGTTTTAGCTAGGGCTGCAAATGATTGTGGTTTGTGTGATCCTCTAGGCCTACGGCAAGTTACTCTGCTGAGACTAAAGGACCCTTTTCCCACACCCATAAGCCTGCTGGGACTAAAGGACCTTGTCCACACCCATAAGCCTGCTGGGACTAAAGGACCTTGTCCACACCCATAAGCCTGCTGGGACTAAAGGACCTTTTCCCACACCCATAAGCCTGCTGGGACTAAAGGATCTTGTCCACACCCATAAGCCTGCTGGGGACTAAAGGACCCTTTCCCACACCCATAAGCCTGCTGGGACTAAAGGACCTTGTCCACACCCATAAGCCTGCTGGGACTAAAGGACCTTGTCCACACCCATAAGCCAGCTGGGGACTAAAGGACCCTTTCCCACACCCATAAGCCTGCTGGGACTAAAGGACCTTGTCCACACCCATAAGCCTGCTGAGACTAAAGGACCCTTTTCCCACAAACATAAGCCTGCTGGGACTAAAGGACCTTGTCCACACCCATAAGCCTGCTGGGACTAAAGGACCTTGTCCACACCCATAAGCCTGCTGGGACTAAAGGACCTTTTCCCACACCCATAAGCTTGCTGGGACTAAAGGACCTTGTCCACACCCATAAGCCTGCTGGGGACTAAAGGACCCTTTCCCACACCCATAAGCCTGCTGGGACTAAAGGACCTTGTCCACACCCATAAGCCTGCTGGGACTAAAGGACCTTGTCCACACCCATAAGCCTGCTGAGACTAAAGGACCCTTTTCCCACACCCATAAGCCTGCTGGGACTAAAGGACCTTGTCCACACCCATAAGCCTGCTGGGACTAAAGGACCTTGTCCACACCCATAAGCCTGCTGGGACTAAAGGACCTTTTCCCACACCCATAAGCCTGCTGGGACTAAAGGACCTTGTCCACACCCATAAGCCTGCTGGGGACTAAAGGACCCTTTCCCACACCCATAAGCCTGCTGGGGACTAAAGGACCTTGTCCACACCCATAAGCCTGCTGGGACTAAAGGACCCTTTTCCCACACCCATAAGCCTACTGGGAATAAAGGACCCTTTTCCCACACTCATAAGCCTGCTGAGACTAAAGGACCTTTTTCCCACACCCATAAGCCTGCTGGGACTAAAGGACCCTTTTCCCACACCCATAAGCCTGCTGGGAATATAGTTCTAGACCTGTGTTGCAGAGCACTTGGCAGTTGGTGGCTGATGTCCGCCTTCACTTCCCACGACTTCCGCTGATACCTATTTAAGGCTGGGTTGAACTAGAGGTTAAGGTCATTAAAAAAAAAAGCCTGGCTTCGGTCGGATTTGAAACCATGACCTTTAGATCTGCTGGTGAGCATAGTGCATTGAAATCAGTCTTATTAACTTGAACTCTTTCGGTGCTAGAGGACAGTTGGTTTCATCTGCGCATGATACTCCTTTATACTCAAAGAGTTAATCTCACCTTTTCGTTTTAGTTCCAGTAAATAAGTTTGACAGTAATAATAAGGTAAATAAAGAACCCTGTTCATATCATTAGTATATTGGGCATATAGTGCTGCACCCATATTTGTTATAGACTAATCATAACACTCGATTGAAATATCATACCGTGGAGATCTAGGTCAATTATAACATTTTTTCGCAGTAAAAAAACTATAGCTTTTTAGCAAGCAGGCTATTGTCTAGCTACTGTGACTTCCATTGGACACTGTATCATCTTGAACCTCTTCAGTACTTAGCGGCTCATCACACATTACTCTATATAGGGTATACATTTCAGGTCTCATTCTCTTTCATTCTTCTGGTACATTAACCTATTTTAACCCTGGCTGTTACTTGAACTGCCTCTATCCTACAGCTCATGTTAACTCCTTAGGACTTACATATTGTTTCTTTAAAGCACTGTGGAGTCTAAATGTTTTTAGTAGTAACTGCTTGGAACTCAAAGAGTGAATGCATTGCTAATGATTGATTTCAGTTGACGGCATGGATGCCAATATCAGATACGAGGGTCATGATGATCAGACAGCTCTACATGCGGCTGCCATGTCGGGGAGTGTGGGCATTGTCTTTGTGCTTGTGCAGGTTAGTTCAACTGTTTGAGACACTTTAGTTGGGTAGAGTTTCAGTTGAGTTGACTTGATTCGGGAACCAACATTACAAAACTTGAAGCGTTCTTACAAACGTTCCATCCCCATCTTCAGCAGCCAGCATAGAGTTGCAATACCAGTAGCCCCTGTAGAAGTCTGAATATACATCCGTCTTGCCTGTCCTCTGAGCGCTGAGTATCGGCCAGATTCCTTCGCCACTCCTTGTTGCCTCACTCTCACCGGACTGTGGTGATCCATTTACTCCTCTGAATTGTACTCTAGCTCCCATAAGGCCTTGACCATGTCTGCCTTATCATGCGCTGGTTTTCCACCACGTTGTGCAGAACCAGCAAGTCTGTCCACACATGCCATTTCCCAACACACCGTCATATTGTGGCATATGCGAGGCTCTGTCTTGTACAAATGGAGCAACAAAGTTTGTAGTTCGTGTGAAGCTGTTTGGCAGATGGCCCGGCCAGCTTCTCTGCTGAGAAAGACGTATAGGTTGTAGCAGTTGGAGAAGTCTCTTCGACACTAGCAGGTCCTGATTCAGCACTGCACATATTTTAAGGACACTTCACTGCCTTGGGCATATGGTGCTAGACATTTATTGGTAGAGACCTATCAGCATTCAATGGGTGACATGTTCAGCATCATAATAGCTGCCTGTAATTCCCAGGACTTTACCTAATACCCATTTTAGGCTGTGTCAGCCTCTGAACCAAGAAAAAATAAAATAAACCGCTTTAATGCAACCTGTTTTTTTTTCATTCTGAAATTCAGCCTAGGTTTTTAATATATGCTCAGTTTGTTTCTGTGTCACCTTTCTGCAGCCGAGCATCCTTTGGGGAACTGTTTAGAGGTAAGTGGCAGAAGAAGACACATTTTTGTGGTTGCAGAGCTGATATTTGTGATGTTTTTTTCTGTACACAGTTTGGGGCTGAGATCCATGCCCAGGACAAGAGTTTGAGGACGCCAGTGATGTGTGCTGCAGAAAACGGCAACCTGAAGGCTGTACAGTTCTTGATTAAATCTGGGGCCAAAGTGGAGGATAAGGTTTGTGATTCTGACTGTTTTCATTGGCCTGGCTGTTTCTTGTGGCAGCTAGGATCAGGACAGGCTGAAGAAATTATTAAGAGTGGTTGACATTATCTTCGACAACCCGCAACAAATATAGACATTTTTTGGTAATTCTTTAAAAATTAGAATTCTCCAACTAGTTGTATGTACACTCAGCACAGCTGTATGATGTAGAAACCTGGACAGTTTTTAAAAAAAATATCCAGAAACCATGAGTTGTTAACCCTTTGGCTCGATACTATAGATATTGCAACCCTTCGACCTTGATTCCATGATAGGTACCGTAAATCTAGGAGAAAATGTGGCTTTTCTGCCTACCTCCGGGAGTGAACCCGGACCACAAGGAGTTTGTCACCCGGTCACCTCAGAGTCTGGTTTAGCCAACTACGCTAGAGAGCCGGGCAAACATGGACAGTAAAGAAGCAGCTAGAAAATTAAATTGAATCGATAGGGGAATGAATCGACAGAAGAAGAATAGGTTGTATTTCATGGAAACAGCCAGTCAAATAGATTCTGAAGGGACCGAATGAAAAAAGTGTTGCTGAAATAAATAGACAGTTGAAGAAACATTTACACATTGAAAGACATTCTTTTAAAAATCATTTAAAAAAAAAAAAGCCAGGTTGATCTCAATTTTTGTCTGTGAGCCTTAGTGGTAGAGGTCACGAGGTCACAGCATGAGTCAACCAGTACATTATATCTAACCAGGAAATGTATTTCATTTAATTCTTTGCTCTGTGTTTATTGATAACTCCTTTACATTTCTTTATATAAATGTCAACAACCTGGTATATTTGTTACCTGTGAAATATGTTTTTGAGGAATTTTGTCCAGGATTTCCTACGGGTTCATGGCCCATTTTTTAAAAAAAAATCATTTACCTGGTGGAACAGTTAAATATTAATGTTACAGTTTTTGTTGGGTATCATGATTTCTTTTTCCCCCACATACTTAGCTGCAATTATTGTCTTTTGAAGTTGACTGGAATATTCACAGTCTGCATATTTTACAGGGAGAAGATGGCATGACAAGCCTTCATTTTGCTGCAAAGGCAGGGTACCTGGATGTTGTTCAGCACATTCTGGAAACTGGGAAAGTGGACGTCAATATTCAGGTATGTTGTCTGACTGTTGATGAGCCATTGTGTAGCTTGTCAGTGCCTGCAAGGAAAGGATTTATTTTCTCCCCCCTGTCCATCTGCATGTACTTCTGTATCTCTTTTTCCCCCAGGTATGTTGGTCTCCAGGACTCCATTTAGGTTGAAAAAGAATCGACCCACGGCTCTCCAGCAAGCATGGTGTGAAGGGTGACTGATAAAGGGTTTGCTTTAAGTTTGATATGTTGGGCCAAAAGGCGCTGATATTACAACCTAGCTGCATACGACACAAGGTGCAACCACACTTTTAATGTAAACTGAGAAGTAGAAGAAATTGTGTGTGTGTGTTAAAGGCGGGGATATCGAGATCTCGGACACAATTTATTTCATCATTCATACTGTCATATCTAGGAATAATCCACTGAATATAAATTTGATGATAAAATTATTATGAAGGAAGAAGGGATGAGAGCTGAGCGTCTGAGAAGAAAGAGACTAAACAAAAATGTTGACAGCAACGGTCCTGAAATCCCATGCTGTAATTGTGGAAGACTACTCTTAACACGGGCGGGTCTTGCTAGTCACACTCGCCATCGCCATGGGCTGTGAGTTCCATGATTCCTCATAGCACGATAAAACACTATCGTCTGGAAAGACGGAAAGGTGCCAATTATTGTGTCATTCATAAATAGGATTATTATTTGAGCTTTTCATATCCGAGGGTTGGAAATAAGAGACAAGGTTTTATTTTTGGCTAGTCTGTCCACAAGGCCTTACAGTGGTATTGGCTATTTTTATTGTATAAAGAAAAGTGTGACAGTCTTGATATTTTGGGGCATTCGAGCGTACCAGGTGATGAAATATTAAACATACCAGAGAATTGATATTGTTGATTTTCTACTATAGTTGGAAATATGTATGAAGAAAATATGTTTGCTGTTGCTTGTTTTAATGTGTTTGTTTGGGCTAGTTGTGTCTGCACCACAAAGTGCCATATTCGGCTGTTGTTGTCCTTTGTGTCTCATAGTGGTGCTATATAGAACTGACATTTCAGGAGTTGACACTTGAGACTAACCACCTCATGTTTTTATCTGTGTTCCTTGCTTGAGAACATGTCTTGGTTCCAACTGGTATTTTAAATTGCTTGACCAGTACCATATAAGGGGGACAATAACTATGGACAGTTTGTTATACTACTCAGCACAGAATGAGTGTAATAGTGTGATAGAGAGTTAGGGAGAGAGATCAAACCTAATTTTCAAAGGGTCACAAATTAGGCAAACTAGACCTTATAATAATACTCATATTTCACACATCAGTTTTATTTTATTGGGGGGGGGGGGGGGGGGGGGTGTTTATAGGTGAAGAGTAAATTGATTTTTTGCATTTGATTGACCTAGGAAAAATGACCTAAGTAATATAACTTGGCCTATATTCATATACAGTGCAGACCTGATAAGGAGAACAAGTCGAAGATTCAATAAATAGTTCTTCTTATCAGAAATTCTCCTTATCTGCAGAAGAGTTCATGCAAATGGTAATTGTTGGGGATAAGCAAATTAAAAGAAAAGTTGCCTCATCCGAGATCGCCTTAAGCTGTCTGCACTGTTTATAGAAAGATGATAGATTTGATTTTTGTATGGCATGGGAGGATATCTGTTAATGCAATATTAAACATACCAGAGAACTGAGATTGTGGAAAGTTATAGTTGACTCTCTTAACTAGAAAGATACTTGAAGACAATAGATTTGCTTTTACATGTTTTAGTGAACAGATATTTTTTGTGGTTTAAGCTGTTTGCGCTTGCACCACAAAGTGCCATATTGGGCTTTTGTGTGCCCCGTGTCTCTCATAGTGGTTCTATATAGAACTGACATTTCAGGAGTTCATACTAGAGACAAATCACCTTGTCTTTTTTCTCCTGAATATACTCTTGGAAACATCTTTGTTTCTTTTAAAAAAAAAAAATCTTTTGTGAACTTTCGCTTCAAAAAAAAATTATTTTGTTAGTTAGTTGACAGATTATCCTCGTTGCAGATTGAACTATTCCGTCCATAAGTGCCCGGATCCCCTTCTTAGGGAATCCTGCAGCGACAGTTGTCACTTGGTTCTCGCAAATGTCCTACCTAGAGACCAGGGGAAATTACCAGAAGTCCACATGAAAAAAAATCCCAGCCTCCACTGGGGCTTGAACCTGGGACCTCAAGCACTCGAAGCAGATACCTTACCTCGAGACTCCACTCAGCCCCCCCCCCCCATCCCCCCCGTTAGTCAACTCTTACAACATGCTTCTTTGGGAGTCATTTTGTTTTTGTTTTTCCTGCAATAAAGCCCCAAAACCAATTTACTTGTTATTGTTTCCCCCATGTGTGCGTGTGCAAAACGACCTGGGAGTTAAGCCTGATGTGATTGTGTGTGTGATTTGTTCCTGTGTGACATATATTTTACTACCTGTTATCTAGCTATTGTCACAGAAGGTCAGATTAGTTAATTTCAGTTAACTTCAGGCATCTTTCCAACCAAAACAATAAATTAATCATATTGTTTACTTTAATTTCCCCAAGGTCTGCATAGATTTTCTTTTTTCCGTGTTTGTCTCCCAGTCTAATAATGGTAAACTACTCCTCGACTCCTCAAATTTATCAACTGATTCGATATAGGCTTTGTCCAAATATTTTCATGGGCTCAACATGGGTGATTAAATTGTATCATCTTAGATACCCATTCCTAAATATAATTTCTGAATACTTATGTTTTTGTTTTGTATTGTTGTTTCTGATGCAAATACCAAGTACTGATTTGAAACATGATGATATTCCTCAGGATGATGGTGGCTGGACACCCATTATGTGGGCAACAGAGCTACAGATGGCAGAAGTAGTCAAGTATCTTTTGACACAAGGGGGAGATCCTAACAAGAAAGATAACGTAAGTAACTTGACCATATAGTACATAGAAAGCTTGTCAGCCTAGCACCAGGTCCTTTACTGTAGGTGTGTCAAACATGCAGCCGCAGACCACATGCAGCAGCCCCTTGCAAGCAATCATTTTTTAATAAACGACTTCATTTAGTTGTTTTATTTGGCCATCATGACAAAACAGAAATGATTTATATAATATGTAGCCCTCGGTTTGACATGCCTGCTTTATAGTCTATTTTATACACAAGAGCACTGTTGGACACTTGTAGCTAGAGGGAAAGTGTACAGTTGTATTTTATATACACAAGCATTGTTGAACACTTATAATGTGAGAGGGAGTGTGCAGTTGAGGCTCATGCTGGAAAAATTCTGAATCTTTTGCATTTCCCTGCCACATGCATTTTCATATCCAGGATGTCATCATAGTCCTGTGTTGACCTTTATATTTTTTTTCTGGAAACTTAGCTTCCCTGACTCTCTTGGTTATATAATCTAAGTTGTTTCTTTGTTTGCAGTAAACAGTTTTGCTACTTGATCAATCCTTTGTAGTTGGAGTGCATCTGCATGAGAGGTGATAAACCAACAGTCCATGTACAAATAAGTTATTTGTAAAACGGATGTGCATGCAAAACTTAATTTATGAAACAAGGCTAAATTCCAGATATGGGTGAACAACCAGCATTCTCTCCAGAGTTTACTGTCAGTAAAAGCAAAGAAGAAGAAGAAGCTACTGGATCATATTTGTCCTTAAATGTATTTGTTTATTTGGTCTTTTTGCCTTTGTGTATAGCTACCCTGACTATTCTTGTGTTTATAATGTAAGTTTCTCTTTCCCCACTGATTGATCATATGTGTCCTTAAATGTATATTTTGACATTTTGTGTGTGTAATTGCGGTATCATATTACTATTTTTGAGTGAGTAAGTTAAATATCCGTTTGTATTTTCATAGTTTTGTCTTTTTCAAATTGTGTTTTAATTTTTGATGAAATATCTGTCTATATAAGTATAATGTTGAAATCTCCAGTTTTAGTTCTTTTCCACTGCAGAAATTGTATTTTTGATTTTAAAATAATCAGTACTCTTTCTGAATTTTGAGTTTTGTTTTGTTATTGACTTCTTATTCAGACCTGCATGATTCCTGCTCTAGGTAATTGCTATTTGTAAATGATTTTTTTTGTCCGCCCTCTTTGATTACATGATCAGGTATTTTTTTTAAAGGATTGTTGTAGTTGTTTTTCATCTGCATTAATTTTTTTCATTAGTGTTGTTAAAAATACATACTTGTGTCCATGTTTATAATGTTGTTGGTATTAGCAGTCTAGCAAGGACATACTTATGTCCGTGTTTTGTAATATTGTTGGTATTAGCAGTCCAGCAAGGACATACTTGTGTCCATGTTTATAATGTTGTTGGTATTAGCAGTCCAGCAAGGACATACTTGTGTCCATGTTTATAATGTTGTTGGTATTAGCAGTCCAGCAAGGACATACTTGTGTACATATTTGTAATGTTGATATTAGTAACCACTGCAAGAACATACTTGTATCCATGTTTTATGCTGTTTGTGTTAGTAATCACTGGAAGAACATAACTTATGTCTATGATTATAATTATCTTCCTTCTTTTGTTCAGGAAGAGAACACCAGCCTTCACTGGGCAGCTTTCTCTGGCAGCTTAACCATTGCAGAGATGTTCTTAGACTCTGGGTGTGAGATTGATGCTGTCAATGAGCACGGAGACAGACCTCTGTAAGTCGATGATCTTTCTGGACAAGTTTCTTTCTTTGTCATGCTAACTAGAATGCAGTCCTGTCTCATCACAGCTTGTTTCTTCTTCAGTGCCATTATTCATTAATTATACTTAATCGTAAAGCAAATTATCTTGGAATCAAGGTGCTAGATTCTAGCCTGAAAATCCTAAGTTCAGATTCACAAGAATTCGTAGTAAATCCTTGAATATTAAATCTTTCAATGCCAGGCAAATGTTATTAGCCTGAACGTTTTTTTTTTTCTAACAGCGTCCACTTGTTTTTGGTTCCAGGTCCTCAGTTTGCAGGAGGAAACAAACTAGATTAGCTGCCCCCTAGAAAGCTTGTCATCAAAATCGAATTGTTAGAGGTCTTTCCTTCGTGCATCTGACTGAGAGGCGAGGAACAACAAAACAGTGTGCATACAAATAAGCTAGATTTTAAAAAACGGGATATGAATGCAAAACTCGAGCTCTGAAATTAAACTAGAGCCCACCGCCAGAACGAACAACCAGAACACTAAAAAGAAGAAGAAAACTTGGAGGACTTGTAGCAGCTCCTGAAAACCAAGAAAACCTAATAACAGCAACTGAGGACTTCACGATTGTGAAAAAAAACTCTTGAAATAGGCAGAAAACCCTGAAATTTGACCCCCATGGAGTAGGAAGGAGTAAAATGACGGAGTACCCACACACTGTCTGCATGTGTTTTCAGCGTTTAAAGCAAACAAAGGGCTGCTGCATGTGACCGGCACGAGATTGAAAAGGTCAGACATATCTTGAGAAAGCCATGACAAACCCTTGTATTTGGCTACGAACTCTGTTCTTAAAACAATTTGTTTTTGTCAGAATGTTTCGCAGGTATTTGTTTGTGGTCAGTTTTTTTTTAAAAATTCCAGTTTAAAGGATTCATTTAAAATAAAATTGTTACTAAAGTGACACATCTGAGTAATTTACAATGAAATATGCCAGGCAGTTAATGGGGCACTCTGTTGTTTGTGCTTTTTGTGTTCCGTTATTTCTGTTGGTTATCAGTTCTTTTCTCTTTTCATCATCATCAACAGGCATATAGCAGCAAGACAAGATCATTATGATATGGTTGTGTAAGTATACTTTTGTAATGATTATATATTTGACTTTATTTATTTGGCAAGGAATGGAGGCGCTTAGAATTAAAAAAATAAAAATTTTTTTTTTTTTCAGGTTAACTGTAGTATCTTTTATCATCAACATCGCCATCGTCTTCTTCTTCTATGTCTACACTTAAAAGGATAATTGACATGTTGTGTTGTAGTTTACAGCTATGCTATTACAACTGTATCTCCCTTTCGGCCTAACACATTTAGTTTCAGAAAACCCTTAATTTGTTGCCTTTTACGACATGCTTGTGTAGAAGGGGGGGGGGGGGGGGGGGGTCTGAGTGCATCTGTAGGAGCGACAAGGAACTGCTAACTGCACACAAATAAGCTAGTAAAACTGCTCACAAATAACCTAGTAAAACAGATGTGCATGCAAAACTCAGACCCTGGCACACAGCCAAAGTCCAAATGAACAAACAACTAGGACTTTCTGCTGGAGCTCACAACCGGTGAACAAAGAAGAAGAAGTTCTGCTGCTGATTGGTGTGCGGCTGAGTCTCCACTGGTCTTTCACATGAAGTGAAGTCTTCTTATTCGCTTGCACCGGCAGTAAACTCTGGCAGAGACTTCTGGTTGTTTGCTCCCTTCTGGACTTTGGTCTTATTACAGAACCAGAGTTTTGCATACACATCTGTGTGACTTATCTGCTTATTTGTATGCAGACTGTTGGTTCCTTGTCCCTCAGACATGCAGACTGTTGGTTCCTCGTCCCTCACACAGAAGCACTCCAACTTTGAATTTAACATCCCTGATTTTTAGTGGACTCTTACAACATGCTTGTTAGGGGGCAGTGGGTTTGGTTTTTTCCCCTCACACTAGGTAGTAGAACCATCATGGGGGGGCGGTGGGGGTGCGGTGCGGTAAGCCTGACTCAAAGGACAGTTTTCCTTTGGTTTATTTTCAGGGATTTCACTCATTCAGGCAAATATACATTTTTGTTTGAGGGATGTTATTGTAAAGTACAGAACCAAACAGCCCTCTTGTTAAAGGGGTTAGCTTTTGTAGCTATGTGAGAAAGTGAGATGAAAAATAGTAATTTGAGAGTGTCAGCCTCATCACACAGAGATTTATCCCACCTGACTAGTCTGTCTCTGCCTGAAAAGAGCTCTCTCTCTCTCATTCTCTTTTTCTCTCTCTCAATCTCTCTCCCGTGCATGGAATGCGTGCGCACATACACACACACACTAATTACTAACATATACCAACAGCTTGCTGTACTCAACAGACATCATAATCCAACATTGTAAATATTCAACAGAAGTGACTGTTTATTTCAACATTACAGTCCAACCGTAGATCTTAAATAGAAATCATTGTTTATATTGACAGACTGTTGCTGGCCAGAGGTGCTGATGTTGATACTAAAAACAACAAGAGTGAGAGTCCAGTAGAGGTAAACAGCTTTCTTTACCAATTCTTGCTAAACATCTCACAACAGTTGGAGATTATAAATCTTTATAGTCTGTTGTCTGGCAAAACTTGAGAGAAATCAACCTCGAGAGAATTTATACTTACTGCAGTTATGATATTGATTCATTGTGATTTTTTCTCTCTCCAGATAATTAGCTAATATTGATTGTGGATTATGTTTCTGTTTGCCTAGTCGTGCACCAACAAGACAGGTCAGGTGTGGATGGCCCTGAAAGTCAATCAGCAGTTGAGGAGTTTTGCCGCCTGGAAAACTATACGTCCAGAGAGACTTATAGAAAGGTAAAGTTTACTTCATTCTCACCCTTTCCACATTTTCTCTAGACTGTTTAGCTAGATACCATTTTTAGACAGCTTAGTTAGATACCATCTTTAGACTGTTTAGCTAGATACCATTTTTAGACTGCTTAGTTAAATACCATCTTTTAGACTGTTTAGTTAAATACCATCTTTCGACTGCTTAGTTTAATACCATCTTTAAACTGCCTAATCGAATGCCATCTTCAGACTGTTTAGTTTGATACCATCTTTAGACTATTTCGTTAGATGCCATCTTTAGACTGTTTATTGAGATGCCATCTTCAGACTGTTTAAAAAGATACCATCTTTAAACTGTTTTAATCCTAAATAACATCAGTATTTGTGCTGGCAGAAATAATGTCCTGAAACATGTCCCAACATACAAAAACAACGATATTAAAAGAGATAGTTAATGTCCTGTTGCTGGTCTGAATCTGCAGGGATATAACCATGGGTAGGGAGAAGAACCCTGTGGCCTGTGTCAACTCTGAAGACGGTGAGCCGTGCCCTGTGGACTATCTGTACGTGACGGAGAACGTGGAAACGAGTCCGCTGAATATCAACTACGTCATCACTAGCTTGCAGGTAATGTTCGAGCTTCTTCTTCTGCAGACCTCTTTGAAAGGTGGTCGGAGTGTTGTGTTGTGGTTTACAGCTAGGCTAGGTTATCCACGCATAGGCATCTGATTTCTGCATGTTCTGAGTAAAGCCACATTTGATTAAGCCACTGTGGTGTAGCGGATGGATGCGTGCCTTGATCCGAAGGTCATGGGTTCAGTATCGAGCTGGGTTTAAAAAAAAAAAAACCTCGACTTTCATATCCACTAATCTTGAAATGGGTACCAGATAGAGTCCTGGGAATAAGAGGTGACCATTGTGATGATTGATCTTTAAAATATAGGTGAAGGCATGGTAAAAGCGCCCCCCCCCCCTCCCCCCCCCCATACACTTAATAAATGTAAGATTTCTGTACATCTTAAATGATGGTATTTTTCTTGCCCTTGTTTCTCTTGCTGTTGTTTTTTTCTCTTCTTCTGCTAATTGTTTACATTTTTAAGTTGATTTACATATAACAGCATATTTATTTCTAGTGACAAAAAAATTAAGTAGTGTATAGTTGGAAATTTTTTTTTGTTTTTCATCTATGTGTTCCCTACAGAGTTGTCGATGTAAAGATGACTGTTCATCCATGTACTGTGTGTGTGGACGCAGCAGCATCAAGTGCTGGTATGATAAGGTGAGTGTTTTTTGCACCATATTTTTCCATGTATAAGTTTCCCAAATTTTTAAAGTTTTAAAATTGGGGGTCATCTCAAATGCAGAATTTGTTTAGGATATTTGTTTCTTAATTTTGGGATACAAAAAAAGGGGCGAGGGGGTGGTGTGTGTGTCTTGTGCATGCAAAAATATGGTATACTGGACTCATAATTTAAGCAATGTTTACTGGAAGAAAACCTAGCACAATGAAGCTACCAGAAAAGTGGCACACTTCAGAAGTAAGGCTGATTTAAAGCATGACATAACTACCGTTATGCTGCCATGCTTTAAAAAATAATGCAGACTTACTAAAAAAAATATGACATAGAAATACCATAAGACAAATAAAGACAAGCTGTGACTGGTACATTCAACAGAGAGAAAAGAGACGCCTATAGATACATACATTTTTAAGTAGTGAGCAAAACAAGCCATCAGATAAATCACTAGGAAGTCTATCTAATATAATTGTGTAAAAAAATGGAAAAAATAATGACAGAAAGAGCTATTGCAAAACAAAATAGAAAGTGAATGAAGGCACGGGAAAGAGAGAGAAAAATATATGAATAAATCAGAAATGTATACATTTGAAAAGTTTCATAGTCTTGGGTAGTTTTTAGTGTTTTCTTAATATCTATTTGACCATAGTTACTTGTGTTTAGATAAAACGAGCCTATTCTGTTTTGCAAAAGACTCGTCAGAAGCAGCCTCACCAAATAGAGCTTACATTAGGCTGCCTTACGATAAGTAAGGCTGACCGAAAGCAGCCTGACAGGGAATTACTGATGTTTGTGTGGGAAATGGGCTCTAATGAAGAATAGACCCACCCACTGCCACCCTGAAATGCATGGCGTAGAAGTGACTAATTAAGGGCGTTTCCTTTAAAGTCAGAGTGCATCTGCCTGAGAGGCCAAGAACCAACAGTGTGCATAGAAATAATCTAGATATGTAAAACGGATATGCACACAAAACCTGAGTTCTGGATTAAGACCAAAGCCCAGGAGTGGAGAACAACCAAGACTTTTTGCCAGGGATTTACAGATGTTGAAGACTAAGAAAAAGGATGAGTTAACATTTTAAAATGTTCATTGCCCATTAAAGATGACGTTTCTCCCCTTTTTGAATTTCAAGATGGGGCGTTTATTGGATGAAGTCAACTTGCTGGAACCGCCGCTGGTGTTTGAGTGTAACAGAGCTTGTCGATGCTGGGTGAACTGTAACAACAGGGTGGTGCAGAATGGTATCACGTGAGTTGCCAACCCATTTTTTATATACACATTTGTAATGTTATTCACTTGTTGTAATGTTAACACTCGCTGGTTGTAATGTTAACACTCACTGGTTGTAATGTTATCATTCACTTGTTGTAATGTTAACACTCACTGGTTGTAATGTTATCATTCACTTGTTGTAATGTTAACACTCACTGGTTGTAATGTTATCACTTATTAGTTGTCCCCTTGTTGGTTCGGGACCCAGTTTTATTTTGGGGGCAGGAAAATAGATCCTTCACCCCTCCCCCACCTCCAACCACCACAACCATAGCTGACTAAATAGGGGTGTTTCCTTTGAAGTTGGGATGCATCTGCCTGAGAGCTGAGGAACCAACTGTCTGCATACAAATAAGTCAGTTCTGTAAAATGGATATGCAGACAAAACTCAAATTCTGAAACAAGACTTTAGTCCAGAATTGGGTGAACAACCGTAACTTTCTTGGAGTCTACAGACACTGAATGCAAAGATGAAGAAGATTCACTTGTAATGTTATCATTCACTAGTTTTAATGTTATTGTTGTTTAGTTGTAGTGTTATCTACTAGTAGCAGTGTTGTCAACCTTTAGTTATAATGTTATTATTCAAAATGTTATGCATTAAATTGTAATGTACATTTGTAAGTTTCACCTGACACTTGAACCTCATCTGGTTTCTCACTAGAAAATGGAACCCCTAGCTTTCAGCTGGATCACTTGGGTAGACCTGGGTTATTCTGTGAAGTATAAAAAACTAGGAGTATTCTGTGTTATATGAGTCTGGGAGATATTGAAAGCTCTATATTGTCTGTTTACCCGGTTAGGACCTCTTTGACTAGATAAGTCTCTGACAGTGATATAGAATCTACCTAATGTGGGTTCCTGGGTCTTTTTATGGGAAAACTTGAATAGACCCACTGCCTCCCCAACAAGCATGCCATAGGAGTCGATTAATTGTGGGCATCTTTTGAAGCTGTTCTTTGGTCACATAATGCGAAGCGAGACACTGGAGAACATTGTGGCAACGCTAAAGATCAGTGGGAAAAGGTGTAGAGGCAGTTTAAGAGATGATGCTGGGTGGGCTAAAACGATGGCATGGAGGGATATCATCAAGAGAGCTGTTTTAGGCAACCAGGGATCATGATCTGTGGAGATGCATGAGCGCCTACACCAACTGGCAGGGCACATGGTGATGATGATCTTTTGAAGTTGGAGAACATCTGCCTTAAAGACAAGGAACCACAAGTCTGCATACAAATAATCCAGATCTGTGAAACGGGTGTGCATGCAATGATCAGATTCTGGTTTTAGACTAAAATTCATAGGTGGACAATTACTCAGAACTGTCCGCTGGAGTTTGCAGTCGTTGGTTGAACACGAAGAAGAAGAATTTAGAATTGTCTTTTATTTCTTGTTGTTTTCTCCATCTGCTTTTTAAAATGCATGTTTGTATACTTTATGTATTTATGCTGCTTGTGTCTCTACAGCTGTCGCCTCCAAATGTTCAAAACCAATGGCAGAGGATGGGGTGTTCGGGCTCTAATGGATATACCAAAGGGTACCTTTGTCTGCGAGTAAGTTTCAGCCCGTTAGAAAATTTCATGACTTTGTTAGTTAACTTAATTGTTGATTCATGTACAGGTGGAATGTGTTATCGTATACAGTGAGAATAGAATGTTGTTTTGGAAAGAATTGTTTGGTTTCTGTCTTCATGAAGAAGAGGCTTGACACGGAAAAAAATCACCTGTCAGAATGGATTGAAAGACAAGACTGAAGGATGTGGATAGAAGTGACTACTAGCACCATATGACATGGACTTTAAGAAATGAATTATTCATTTAATTTTAGTGTGAATTGTGTGTTGTCATTATTTTAATATTCCCAGATTAGGTTTGGTTTGTGTGCAACTTCATTTTTACTTTAATCAGAATTTATAATTCTTTTTTCATCATCATTGTTATCTTCATCTTCTAATAGTCCATGCCAAATGGTATTGTTGGTCATTTCTATCCACAAACGTCTGTAAGTCAGTTCTGAGACAGATGATCTTCCATGTCCCGATGTGAAAATGTCCAGCAACTTCTCTCATGATGGATGTACTCGTTTTTTTTATTTTCCTTCTCATAACATGACCAAAGAATGTAGATGGTCTCCCTATGATGTGAGCAGGCAGTTTTCTTCATGAGTCAAGTTTCATTCGAGACATCTTCATTACTTTTTTTTTTTAAATCAGTCAACAATATCCTTATCATACTATAAAACCATATCTCCACCACTTGCAAATAATTTTTCACTAATAGTTAAGCTGCTCATAATTCACTGACTTTTATCATGATGGGATCTATCTATATAGCTCTTGAGAATTCTCTTTCTTGTTTGAATTAACAAAGATTGCATAGAATATTCCTAATTTTTGATTGCTTTGGTATATACAGTTTATTATTGAATCAGTAATGTTTCAGTTATCACCTCAGTAGCAACTATTTTTCTCTTTAGTTTGCTCCTAAAGTTATAATTTATTGCTCCAAGGGGAACACTTTATCAGAGATAAAAGATTATCACTTTATCAGTTATAATGTCTTTGATTATTGATAATAATTTACTTAAGGTTACAGTTTAAATATTTGTTTTCAAACTGTTATAATTTATGATTATAAAAAGAACATTGCAGTGCACATTTCAGTTATTATTCAGGTTTATTAGATTTTTATTTCAATTTGTGACTATTTCTGTGTGTGTTAGGTATATCGGAGAACTCATATCTGATTCAGAAGCTGACAGAAGGGAGGATGACTCTTACTTATTTGATCTAGATAATAAGGTAACGGATGATTTTTGTTTGCTAAGTGATTTTTGTGTTTGTGTGTGCGCAGGATTTAGGTGGTGGGTGTGGTTGTTGTCAGTGATGAGTTTATATATTGCGGGTTCAAGGGCAGCAACAGTCCAGTGGCTTTTAGCTTGCCTGCTGAATATTCAGATGGTCATAGTTGAAAATACCCATCAAGGCAGATTTATTTATTTACATTTCCCACATGGATTTTGTTGCCCTAATTTTTTTAAGTGGGGGAAGAGAGGGGTCGGGGGGGGGGGGGGGGGGGGGGGGTGAAGTGGAGAGAATAAAACGACACCCCTAACAAATATGTCGTAACATGACTAATTATGGGGTGTTTTTCGACCTACGAGTGCATCGACTTGAAAGGTCAGTTCTCTCTCTCCCTCCCTCTCTCTCTCTCTGTCTCTCTCCCTCCCTCTCCCCCCCTTTCTCCCTCTCTCTCCCCTCTCTCTCTCTAGGTCTAGCCCTATGTGCCCTGTACTCCTAAAGGCGTGGAAAAGGGACCTTTACTTACTTTATAGATGCACTCAGTTTCAGAATTGCCAGACCCCCCACCCCCAGTTTCTCCTCCTCCGTGTGGAAGGGAAAACCACTGATCTAACCAATCATAAAGTCAGAAAGCTTAGCATGATCTGATTGAAGGCCTGTGATCCATCCAGTGATCAAAATTACAAGCTATAGTAATTTAAAGGGGACTGGTACGATTTCTGGTATGGTATCTATAGTTTACAGTTATTAAATTGTCTTCTGCTTCTTTTTATGAGTTCTAATCAATACATGTCTGTCTATTTTAGGTACTGTTTCTATGGTCTCAGAGTTTCCCCATTTGTTTATTTCTGTCTCACTGGGAGGTGACAGGCAGAAAAAAATGTAATGCCAGTGCGTGTCGTCATCATCCTGTTACATGTCACATAGGGCTTGCAGATAAATGCTCCATTCCCTTCAGTACTATTGATGCCAGCACCTTTAGTCTCAACAACTTTCCTCTAGTGATTATCTTAGTTGGGCTCTGTGTCCTCTGTCCTTTTGGTTCCCATCTTCACACATGTTTAGCGATTCTCTGTCAGTGTCTTTTCATGTTGTACAGAATATATCGACACCTTCTTTTTTCTTCTAACTGTAGGTTTCACTACCACTGCAGACGGGTCGCCCCATAACGGTGCCTTCCTGACCAGTGGGGATCACACAAAATGTCCTTCAAAGCCCCATTTAAATATTAGTGAAAAAACTTGCATATCTCAGCAAAATCTGGAAACTTATCCTCGCAAAGTAAAAATGTGTAAGCCAGCTGTCAGATGTGCCAACACTAACAGTCCCACACAGTATAACTATTAATGCAAGTGTTCAGTGTTTGTTTATCTCATCAAATACGATGGATGCTGTGTTGCAGGATGGGGACACCTATTGTATCGATGCCAGGAGGTACGGCAACATTAGCCGCTTCATCAACCACCTGTGTGAGCCGAACCTGGTCCCAGTCAAAGTCTTTGTAGAGCATCAAGACCTCCGGTTCCCCAGGATATGCCTGTTCGCATCTAGAGAGATTAGGGCCTATGAGGAGCTAGGGTAAGTTCAGCAGCACTGGTTGCTGTGCTGTTGTCATGGGTCATGGTTGTTTCAGTTTGTTGAAAGTGGGAAGTGAGGTGACAGAGAGAAGTGAGGTGACAGGGAGAAGTCATGTTACAGGGACTAGTCGGGTGACAGGGAAAGGTTTTTAGAGGAGGTAACAGACAGGGCTAGGTGAGTTAGTTTATGAAAAATGAGTTTGTTGAGAAAGAAAAGCTTGAGTGAGAGTTAAAATAGGGAGAATGAGAGATTGAGTGAGAGTTGATAGGCGAATGAGAGATGGTTGAGTGAGAGTTAATATAGGTGCAATAAGAGATGGTTGAGGGGAAATTACAGGTTGAGTGACAGGTAATATGGGGGTAAATAAGAGGTGAGTGTTGTTATAGGGAAAAAGATAGGTTTGGTGGTAGTAAATAAAAGAAGAATGAGGTTGAGTGAAAGGAAAAATTAGAGGTTGAGCTTAATAAAGAAAACTGAGAGGTTGAAAAGAGAGTTAACATAGAGAAAATAGAAAGGTTGTGTGAGAGTTAACATAGGGAAGATGAGAGTTTGGGTGAGAGTTAATATTGGGAAAAAGAGGCTGAATGAGAGTTGATATTAGGAAAAAGAGAGGTTAGGTGGTAGTTAATATTAAGAGAATTAGAGGTTGAGTTAGCGGGAAAAATGAGTTAATACAGGGAAATTATTGGTTGAGAGTTAATACAGGGAGAATAAGAGGTTGAGAGAGAGTTAATGTAGGGAAGATGATTGGTTGAGTAAGAGTTAATATAGGAAGAATGAGAGTTAATGTAGGGAGAATTAGAAGTTGAGTGAGAGTTAATATAGGAAGAATGAGATGTTCAGTGAGAGTTAATATAGGAAGAATGATTGGTTGAGTGAGAGTTAATATAGGGAGAATGAGAAGTTGAGTGAGAGTTAATATAGGGAGAATGAGGGGTTGAGTGAGTTAATATAGGGAGAATGAGGGGTTGAGTAATATAGGGAGAATGAGGGGTTGAGTGAGTTAATATAGGGAGAATGAGAAGTTGAGTGAGAGGTAATATAGGGAGAATGAGAAGTTGAGTGAGAGTTAATATAGGGAGAATGAGAAGTTGAGTGAGAGTTAATATTGGCAGAAGTATCTTATGGCCGTTTCATAGGCCAGTTTAATACACTTGCCATGCTTTATGTCCACTGTAGGGTTTCTGAACTGGAACCATTTCTGGCACAACCAGATTATGATGGCTTGATACACTTCATCATCATCTTCATTTATCATCATCCATCATCACCCATCATCATCATCATTATCTTCATCCATCATCTTCATCTATCATCTTCATCCATCATCATAGCCATCCATCATCATCAGCCATCATTATTGTCATCCATCATCATTGTCATCCATCATCATTGTCCATCATAATCATCATCATCATCCATCGTCATCATCATCATTTAGCAGCTCTTTTAGGGGAACATCACTCTCATACCAGGCAGCCGGGAAAAAACCTGGTCTTTCACCAGATCTCCAGCCCCACACACTTTCCTACCCAAGGTATCACTTATATCCTGCACCCATCTTTATGCAGGTCAGCCCCTGCCCCTCTTTCCTAGCACCATGCCTTCATCTACTATTGTTTCCTATCTGTCGTGGCACTTGGATAGACCAAAATAATTCACCTTCCAAGCCAAGACACTCTTTACCAGCCTGTTTTCCCTGATGTTCAGATCTTTTAGGATGTTCGTATTTCTGGTCCTTTTGGTCCATTGTATTCTGAGACTTATTTTTTTTAAATAGCATTTCAGTTTTTAAAAAAATAACCAGGAAAAACCCAATTTTCTTCCTTAATAGCAAGATAGTCCATGACTCACATCCGTATGTTGCTACAGGGAAGATTCATGCCTGCATATGTTAACCATGATTTCCTTGCTGGAAGTTAACCATACAGACTTCAAATGCTGTTTAATCTTTGCAGTGCTAAGGCCATCCTCCTTTTCCACTTACCCTGCGTTATTCTGTGCCATTTCAGGTTTGATTATGGTGAGAAGTTCTGGATGATCAAATGGAAACATTTCACTTGTGCTTGCAACTCCGCCAAATGCAAATACTCCACGGAAACGATAAAAAAGACGCTGGCCGACTACAAGCTCCGCTACCCTGATGAAAATGTAGACGTTTAAGAAAGGGCAGTTTTAGGTCAATTTGTGCGTGACTGTGAAAGCTGATATTCGGTTATTTTTAAAGACAGTGTTTTGACTGTTGAAGTAACAACACATAGAAAAGACATTGTTGAATTTTAGTGTTTTGCGCATGAATGTGACCGTTGATATTAGGTTGTTGTAAAAGCTGTTGATATGGCTGAGAAAAAATGTTTAAATTTAAAAAAGAAATTCTTTGACAGTTTGGATGAAATTTGTGTGTGAACGCGAAATTGATATTTTATTATTGTAAAGACTGCTTTTAAAAACGCTCAAATTATTTGAGTGTCTCAATGAAATTTTGTGTGAATATAAAAGCTGATAAAAAGCTTTTTCCTTCACTGTGAAAGTTGTTATGACAGAAAATATGGACAGATATAAAAGAAATTCTTAAGAGTTTGGATAAATGTGTGCATGAATGTAAAAGCTGATATTTCATTGATTATGATTGGTGCTTGGACTAAAAGAGTGGACATTTAAAAGGGAGAAATTCTTGACAATGTTTGGATGAAGTTACACATGAATGTAAAAACATATTTTCGATTACTGTGAATGCTGGCCATATTCATTGTTCCTATACTATTTTCTTGTTAGCTGCCAATTTTTAACAGTTGGCCTGGGTATGTATTTTTTTTAGCATGCTGTTTCATTCATGGTTACAATTGTATAATTTTTATTGAAGTTTTCTTGGGTGCATGGAAGATAGCAATTTTTTTTTTTCTGTTGAGTCAGTTCTTCTTTATGTATATGTGTAGAAAAGATTGTAAAGAAAGGTTATGATATCTGTTTGTTCTAGTTGCAGATTATTTGACGCATTTTTTTTTTTTTTTTTTAAATTATTATCAAAGTGGCTTATTTTCATCATCTGCATAATTTTTATGAAATTTCTTTCCATCATCATTTTAAAAAAAATTCTCACTTTTTTTTTTGGTTGTTATCTTTGTATCTGTCTCTTTTCTGTTCTTCTCTATGGGCAGGAGAGCCACCTTAACTCTTAGAAACTATAGTTTGTCGTTCATTATTTTGTGCCTTTTTTTAAAAAAAAACTCTTTCTTCACACCTCTTTTTTGTCTCTGTTTTGCATGTAGTACATTTTCTTGCTGGTCCTACCATATATAGTAATTCCCAAAGTATAAGTATTTCAGACGCATCTTGATTTTGGCACAGGTAGTCTGTAATAAAAAAAAATTATAATATGCGATTATATAAATCTACTACCATTGTATAAGATGCACACTAGAGACACTATAGTTTGGGAGAATAAGTGCGTCCTAAACTTGGGAAAAATGGTATAGTATAACCTTGTTTCAGTGTTCCAGTCTGATAGAGGAATGTGAAATCTGCAGCACAGTCTCATCTGTAGTTGGTATTGTTGTACTGGAAAGTGTCCCCTCTGAGTGAGGGACTTTCAACCCCACTAAAACCGCACATAGAGCGAATAACATGCAGTGATAGAAGGTACCACCATTCGGAGGATAATTCCCCATTACAAGTTCCAGAAACTTGAAATTATATTAGGGTTCCTGGCGACTGTGGGCGCGTGGTTTTCAAATAACAGATATATGGCTTCAAGTCTATCTACCAACCTCGCTGTTATAGATGAAAGATCTGTCTTCAGCAGTATAAAACAGTTATATTGGGGTACTTTAGGGCTTCATGATGTAACCTGAGTAGATAGAAAAAAACCTAGCTTACACAGTCCTTGATGTCATTCCGTAAGGCTAAAGAGCTTAAAAAAAAAAAAAAACCACAAGAGGATTTCCGTCTAACCAGCCACGCACACAGCGTCCAGAAATGTTTCTTTTCTTCTCCTTTTTCATAATTTATTACATGAGCCGCAAGCCGAACGGTTAACAACACAGGGTTAAATCCTCGGAAGGCGTTGGATAGTTTTGTCAGGACAGAAATAAAATCCCAACCTGCACAGTCCAAGGCGGCGGCACTAATAATATGGTCTTAAATCCTCAGACTTGATAAGCCCTGTCACAAACCACTCAAAAGAATGGTAAATAGGGCAGTATAGAAAAATCCTTCACATGAGGTCTACAATACCTCTCATTGTATATTACTGTTCCCACTTGCACAGATACTGTCTTCCCTAGAGTTCCCTTTCAGTTATGTTGCTCATGTGTTGCTTCCCTCATGCATACAGTCATCTCCTTCACACCATAGTGTATGTGCTTTAAACGTCACAAGTGAGAGAGAGAGTCAACCTGTCCTAGTATGTACAAATTATTATATACACTTTAATAAAAATACGTATTTTCAAACTGATTGTTTGGAGACATTATGTTTTCGTACGTTTCTGTTTATCTATCATGATCATCATTTTCATGTTTCATGCTGAGGAGCATAGGCTGTCACGTTTCACCATATCACAGGATCATCCAAATCATAGATCAGTTCAGTGTCCTTGCTTGCCCACATCTGAAGCATCTGGATATATAAATGTGTGTGCCTTTTCCTAGCTCTGATATGAAGAACCATTTCTTGGATATCTGGTGAGTTCTCCTTATCAGGTCTGCACTGTGTACTTTTATCTTTAAATTCAGTTTTATTTTTTTTCAACAGTAGGGTGGTCCTTCTTGTGTGGGTTCTGGGGTCCTCACTGTGAAAAAAAAAATAATTACAAGATACAAGGCCAAATGAAAAGTAGATCAGCGAGCTTGACAATATAATAAAAACAAACGAAAACTGAAGGAATGAAGACACACAGGAATACATAGCCCGAAAATGCCAAGGGCCGTACCTCGAAGACGTTAACTGTGTAAAATTAAAGGTCTGTGGCAGGCCTTTGAAATTAAATTGGGGTCTGTGGCAGGCCTTTGAAAATAAAATGGGATCTGTGGCAGGCCTTTAAAAATATAAAATGGGGTCTGTGGCAGGCCTTTGAAAATAAAATGGGGTCTGTGGCAGGCCTTTGAAATTAAAAGGTGTTAGCGATATATAGGTGGCGGTCTCTTCAGAATCGCTTTATTTTTCACCTTGTGGACACACAAACACCTAGACGACAACTGCCACCACAGTTTCGTCTTAACATCTTCGAGGTACGGCCCTTGGCATTTTCGGGCTATGTATTCCTGTGTTTCTTCATTGCACTGGCAAGACATCAACGTGGCTGCATCTGGATACGTCAGTTAAGTCATTTTGTGAATCAGTGTGTTTTTGTTTGATTTGAGTATGTGCTGATAAAGGCTCTGCAGCCGCAACGTTCAGTTTTTGTTTGTTTGTTGTATTGTCAAGCTTGCTGGTCTACTTTTCGTTTGGTCTTATATCTTTTCATAACACTTTTTGTTTTCTGATATGGAACTGGAAAAAGAGATTGAAACAAAATTGTTGGAGAAATTTGATAGATTGTCCTAATGTTTTGGTTATGTTATAAGAAAAAAAAAAGTGAAAACTCACAGCTTAGCTCGGTTGAAACCAAACTAACAGACGGAGCTCTTAACGCAATTGAGACTATCAGAACTGGGCTAGTTCACAGTTGAAGGAAAGATAATGGTGGCGGAGGGGTTGGGCCGTTGTACATCACACTGTGAAGGTGGATTCGTTTCAAGGCTGCGTAGCTCTGTTCACCATTACATTTTTTTTTACTGAGATCCCTGGGGGATCGTCACTGGAGTTATGGAGTTCGTGCGCTTTGTGACGCGGTAGTCAGCAGGCGCGTAGCCCTTATACACAGAGAGAGAGATAGAGAGAGGGGGGGGGGGAGAGCGAGAGACATATGGGATAAAACCCGATGCAGTGAAGTCGATCCCCTAGATTGTAACTTTTACGGGATAGTAGAATCTCAATGGACACCCTCTATTTTGAGTTATATTTGGGTAAACGACGCCGTACGGAGCTCCAGGTTATATAGCTTTGAGACCAAACTACGAGTCTTCAATTATAATGTTATTTCAGTTCTGACACATGCCAGTGAAAGTTGCAGAAGCACCAAACACATGGAACGGAAGTTAAATACATTTGAAAAAAAAAAATTGTGAGGAAAATCATCAACATAAAATGGACAGTAATTCAAAAAGAATGAAATCAGAGAAATGTCGGCCAGACACTTGTTTCGATTGCAACAAGACAAAAGAATGTATATATCATATATTGGGTAGACTCTGAGACAAAAGGAGCAAGGAATTACAAAACAGGCACTGAATTGAGAAACAAATGGTCTGAGAAACAGGACGTCCAAGAGAAACATTAAGAAGAACATTATCACGAGAGATGAACTCCATGTCAGAAATTGAGAAAGTTGCATGCACCAGAGACGAGTGGAGGAATCGAATGCGAGCTTTATGTGACGACTAACGGTACACAAAGAATGGTTATGATGATGATGAGAATATGCTGAGACTGGCATCAACTATGATACAAAGATGTGTGTAAACAGGACATGAATGGTACAGGTGTTTGGGTGGGTTTAGCGGGAGCAGGATGCCATGAAACTTGTTGTTTGCATTGAAAATAGGAATAACAGAGAAAATGGTTGTAGACAAGAGCTCAGCGTCTGAGAATCAACACGTTGAATACATACTTTGACAACCACGGTCCGGAAATCCCATGCTCTAGTTGTCAAAGAGGAGCCGCCGTTGTGTAGCGGCTAGACGCTTGCCTGTGGACGGGAGGTCGTGGGTTCGGGTCATAACGGAGCCGGATAAAAAAAAAATGACCTTGATTCTTGAGTCGACCCATGTGGGTACCAGATACAGTACTAGGAAGTAAAGGCGTCCGGCATGATGCTGACCACATCACACATCAGGTCCCGATTGGTGAATAAAATATAGGTCTAGCCCTAAATGCCCAATACGCCTATTGTAGAAGAATTCCTAACGCGAGCCGGTCTTGCCAGTCACACTCGCCGTTGCCATGAACTGTGTGTGAATCTCGTACCTCCCTCCCTATAGCACAATACTGTATGGCACTATCGTCGAAAGGCAACTTGCAAAATAGAGGTTGATGGGGGGCATAAAAAAGACAAAAGCTTTGAGAGAGAGAGACACACGCACACACGCACGCACACACACACCACACACACACACACACACAGAGAGACCAGTAATAGAACCACAGCTGGCAGAAGAAGAGATGGGATTTAGGAGAAATAGAAGCTGCACGGATGCAATCTTCACACTTAAACAATTAATAGAAAAGAACATTGAATACAATAAGAACTTATTTTGGGCCTTCGTAGACCAGGAGAAGGCATTTGACAGAGTCGACAGACAATTATAATGGAAAGTAATGGCAAGATATGGAGTAAGCGAACACCTCATCGAAGTGTGCACAAGTTTAAATAGGGATTGTAGAAGTGTAGTTAGAAAAAAAATCAGGGAACATCTCATCCATTCACAGTAACATCTGGAGTAAGACAGGGGTGTGTCTTATCACCACTGCTGTTTATCACCTACATCGACAGTATATGCAAGAATGCCAAGCCCATAAATGAAAATGTTAGTAAGATCAACGAAGTACTCTTTGCAGATGATCAGGCCTTGATAGCAGATACAGCCATGAAATTGCTACAACATCTAACATCCATGAATGAAGAATGTAAAACAAATAATATGAGAATCAACACTGAAAAGACAGAAGTACTGTCAATAGGAAAAAAAAGAAGACAGATCTAAACACATCAATAGAGAACAAATGCATTAAACAGGCATCTGAGTTTAAATATCTGGGAACTACGTTTACCGAAGATTGGAAATTGGATAAAGAAATTAACATTAGATGCAGTAAAGCAAACCAAGTATTGGGACAGCTAGCCCCCCTCTTACAGCATAAGACAATCCCAATCAGCACAAAGAGACATCTTATTCAAAGCATATTTATTCCAACTCTGTGCTACCAGTGCCAAACATGGTCACTCACAACAAACCATAAAAGAAAATTAGTAACCATGGAAATGAGATGTCTGAGAAAGGCTGTAGGAGTGACCATAAGAGATAAGATCAGGAATGAGATCATAAGAGAAAAAGTCGGCACAGAACCAATTCTAAATTACATGCAAAGACAGCAAGTGAAATGGTTTGCCCACTTAGAGAGAATGTCTTGTGACACCATACCATACAAAGCATACATGGAAAGAGAAGAAGGTCGTAGAGCAAGAGGTAGGCCAAGAACAATATGGAAGGATAACATCAGAGAAGCTCTACAACAGCACGATGTGCCTATGGCCGAGGCGGCCAGAAGAGCCAGAAACAGAACCTTATATCTCCCTCGACACTGACAGCGGTAAAAGAGGAAGTGAAGAAGAAGAAGAAGAAGAAGACACAGAGAGAGAGAGAGAGAGAGAGAGAGAGAGAGAGAGAGTGTGTGTGTGTGTGTGTCTCATTGAAAAACTGATACATAAACACGTTAATTGAACATCATCACTTTTGACACTGACTCAAGTTAAACTCAGTCTTGCTTCACACAGAGACTAAAATATGTTACGAATGAATGGCACAGTTTATGAAAGAGAAGCGTAGCAAATTACGAACATAACGCATTCTATTTATAGCAAGCAGCGGTTGACTCTTCAGACAATAAGGATACCTGCATACCGGGCGAAGAACTGTCTTAGCCTTGTGTACTGAAAGTTAGTTTACAGGACGTTGCAAACCCAACCCCAACAGCCCCTGGCTGTTCTGTGGCTTTTCTAGGCAAATTTACGTCCAGTAGTTTGCCATTGCACCTGGACGGTCGGCTTTCTTAATACCACTGTAAAAACCAACGCAAGTCTCATGGCCCGCAGCTGGGATCGAACCCGGCATCCCGGCATTACGGAGCGTTCGCAGCGACTTAGCCACAGAGCCGACTGCCCTGTGTACATTGAGCTTTATGTTTTAAAAGTTGTTTTTGATGCCGTTGTTTCTTTGTTTGCGTGCTGGTCCCGTCGCTTAGTGTCCTGTTGTATTTATTCAGAGTGGCTTTTGGTGGCAGCTGGTACCAGGGCATGCTCGTCGTCAAATGACCATCTCATCTGTTGTTCTTTAATAAACTGTACGACTTGTTTTAAGTTCTTGTCTTATAACATCTTTATTGTTTATTTCATGTGTTCTTTCATAAATTTTGTCTCACTTCTGTATGTGTGTGCCCGCGCGCATGCGTGTGTGCGCGAGAGTGTAAAGAAGCAAGATTTCCTCAAGTTTTTTAATTTAATTCCCACAAGTGTGGAGTAACCAATAAACAAAAAGTAAATTTCCCAGAAGGAAAAAAATTACAGCAATGCAAGAAAAAAAAGTCCATTGTAGTCGATTACACTTTAATTAGCTGTTGGATACACTTGACATCGGGGTGTCCATCAAATGTTGTAGTCTGAGAACACAAAATATATACAGACGTGATTAACTAGCGTAGCAAACGCAGACATGTGTTTGATTCTACTACTAGGGGGTCTTATAATATGTTAAAATATCTCACTTTACACACAAAAATCTTCTTTTTCTTCTTTTTCTTCCATCCTTCTTCCTTCTTCCTTCCTCCCTCCTTCCTTTTTCTTTTTTCCTTCTTCCTTCTTCTTCTTCTTCTTCTTCTTCTTCTCCTTCTTCTTCTTCTTCTTCTTCTTCTTCTTCTTCTTCTTCTTCTTCTTCTTCTTCTTCTTCTTCTTCTTCTTCTTCTTCTTCTTCTTCTTCTTCTTCATTTCACCCTTGATAGGGCGGTTGGTACATTAAGCTGTGGTTTACAGCTAGGCTGCGGTATCTGCCCTTTTTGGCCAAACGGATCTGATTTCAGCAAACCCTTTATTAGTCCATTTTACGACACGTTGTTTAGGCATGTCAGAGGGTCTGTTGCCCCCCCCCCCCCCCCAATTCACTCCAAATAGGGCTCAGGAACCCGCACGGGTAGTATTTACATCTAAAGGTTTAAACGTTTTATTGTCAAAAGAATTGAATTTTTAGCTTTGGAGGTTTATCCGACATGGCTGCTCTAGTACTACATACCCAAATGTTGAATGTTAAATTAAGACTCGACATCACAGCGCTCGAGAAACTTCCATAAGCGCCCCGTCCCTATCTTCAGCAGCAAGCCCAAGAGTTCCAATTCCATTGGTACCAGTAACTGTCTGATTGTACAATCTATATACCCAAATACGCGTAAGGAATATTACTATTTACTGATGTACGCAGGCTTAGATCTAAAAGGCCTGAGTAAGATTATAGTGGAAAGAAAAACAGTCCTAATGTATGGAAGAGCATCATGGACAGTTAGCTGTGAATATTCACCTGGAAGCTGCTAGGATGTGTTTTATAGAAGATCAGTGATACATTAGCAAGATCAGGATAGAGAGAAATAAAACGTGAAGATGTATTGAAGGAAATTGTCTTATGTAGAGAATTTTCTTATCTGAATCTAAAGGAGACAATCTACATTCTTCGGCGGGACAGACAGGCAGGCAGGCAGAAATACTGACAGACAGACATATATACAAGCATATAGACAGACAGACACAGACATATTGATAGACAGACAGACAGGCAGACGGACAGACAGACAGACAGACAGACAGACAGACAGACAGACAGACAGACAGACAGACAGACAGACAGACAGACAGACAGACAGACAGACAGACAGATCAACGCCACAAGACACAGATTAACAACAAAAGTATAAGCACAGCAACTGACCGCTGTCATATTTGCACCGTCAACAACTCTCTCAGTTCGCCACTTGATGCCTTCATCAGTCACGTAATTCTCCACTAGCTTGCCGCCTTCCACACTCACCGTACACTAGAAAGGTAAACACTGGTAATTAATATTGTTTCTACCTGCGTGCGCCCTGACATACAGGTGTAAGTCATGAGCGATAACAACAGCTCACAGAAACCAGCTTCTGGCCGCAGAAATGAGATACAGTAGAACGTCGCTTCACAAACACCTCTAATAACGAGTAATTCGCATAACGAGCAAAACAAATCGTGAAAGAATTACTTGCTTAACGAGTGACGTTTCGCATAACGAATGGCGAGGAGAGGGGGAGTTCCGGATTGCGCGCATGTTACATCAGTCTGTGTTTCATTCCAGAGCATCTTAGTGTCGCTTGTAATCACACATTTTCTCAAACTTGTGTTATATTGTGATATATGTACATGAATCCTCCAGGCCTACAAGATGACTTCCCTGAAGAATTTAAGTTCATCAAGGTCCAGTTTCTGCCTCTCGACACCACTCCGTTACTCCAGCCCATGGATCAGCAAGTTATTTCTAACTTTAAGAAGCTCTACAATAAAGCACTCTTCGAGCATTGTTTTCAGGTGACTGAAAGGACCAACCTCACTCTAAAAGAGTTTTGGAAAAATCACTTCCACGTCGTTGCCTACCTGCCTTAAGATGAACGACGCGGCGGGAGAAGGGGTTACCAAGAGAGCCCTAACTTCTACTTGGAAGGAACTTTGGCCGGAGAGCGTTGTCGATTTGTGACTATTAGGGGTTCGAGACAGTGCTTGTGGAACCGGTGGTCAACGAAATTGTGTCTTTGGCCACTATCAAGGGACTGTAGATGGATAACATTGAGCTTATGTAGTTGCATTGTGTTTCACAGCAAGAAGTTTGGAGGAAAGTTTGTCAGAGGAGGAGGAGGAGGTAACAGAAAAATAACAAACTTCTGGAGAAATAAGAGAAATGCTGAAAGCATGGGAAACTGTTGCATTTTACATTGAGAAGTATTACCCTAATAAGGAAGTGGTTGTGCGCGCTGCAAATTTATTTAATGAGAATGCTGTGTTGCATTTTCGCCAAATTTTGAAGCGTCGGCAAAAATAAATGTCTCTTGACATCTTTCTAGTTTTGTTTTCTGCAAATCGAATTCGCATTCCTGGTGGGTTCATTCCACGTTTGAAGAAAAGATGAAGATGATTTACTCCCCTTAACAATATGTATATAATTTTCTTTGAATAAAAGTTATACATAGCATTCTGTGAGAATTTGTTTCGACATGGAACGCATTATCGTATTTTACATTAATTTATATGAGAAAAATTGTTTCGCATAACGAGTGTTTCGCTTAACAAGTATGGTTCTGGATCGAATTATGCTCGTTAAGCGAGGTTCCTTTTTATATGAGAAAGGCGGTCCAAGTGACAAGAAGGGACAAAGTTCGCAATCAGACAAATACCTCAAGATCTTGAAACCCAGGCCTTAGAAACTCGAGTGGATCAGCCACAGTTACGATTGTTTTGACACAGTAGAATGAGAGAAAATCGGCCACCTGGCAGACACGGGGAGCTAAGAATCAGGGAATCAGACCTCCAGGACGACCATAGGTCCGCTGGGAAGACAACATCCGACAGTCCCTAACTGACAGAAGACTGGAATGAAACGAAGCCAAACAGAAAACTGTAGATCAGGAAGTCTGGCGATCTCTCTGACAAACCTCTACACCCTTCGGTTGTTTTTTGTGCATGTCTCTTCCATCCCATCTATCGAGCTTCCAAGTGGCATTTTATGTTGTACTTAGCGCAGCAAACTACCGTGTTGAACGTCACGGTAGACAGAACAGCGATGGGGGCTGCAGTTTCCCTAAAACGATGCCAATACAGACCTGCGCAAAGATACAGAACAACTGAAGATGCATTGGTCGCGACCGGCTCCAGCTGACAGGTCGTGCTTCTGACGTCACAGGATCAGGCTAGCAATGCGTTAACACAGCGGCTCTCAAACTGGGTGCCGAGGCACTATGGGGTGTCGTGAGCATATACTTGGGTGCCGCGTCAATAATCAAGAAAAGTCGGCTAAAAATTGTGCAATTATTAAAGAAGGAATGTAGATACTTTAAAGTTAAAAATTAGGTTGTCTTCCCTCGCCACTGTTGAAAATAGTTTTTTTTTTTTCTTGTTTGAGAACCTTTACATTACAAGAGAGACGACGTGACGAGAGCGACGTTCTGTAAGGACATGGACGACGTGACGAGAGCGACGTTCTGTAAGGACATGTTGATTAACTGTGTTTGCCAGTTAACTACCATAACCAAAGTCCTAGTGGCATGTAGAAGAAGGTGAGTATTGATGATGATGAGTTTGCTAGGGCGGCTCAACGGTGCTATTTTTGATGTTATGTTAGTTGCGTATTCTTGACAGGAAATTAAAGAACCAGCCCCGGCATTTTTTTTGGTTGTTGTGTTTTTTCTATTCAAATTCATGTCCAGTAGTTTGCCATTGCAACGCCGAAGCCACAGACGCGGACCCGTATTTGATACCACAGTCGAAATCACCACAAAGCAGTAGGTTGCTAAATCCCCTTCAGCGAGAATTGAATCATGTATCTCGGATTTCGGAAACGCGTTTGCTGCACCTAAGCCATAAACGATCTGTTGGGAGATTAAGGATAGATGAAGTTGACGATTAAAAAAAAGACAGTAAAGGGGAGAAGGATGAGAAGGTTGGGGGGTGGGGGTAGACCTCGTGGCGCCAGGGCAGGAAGAGATCTCTAGAACGGGCTCTTCGTATACAGTACTTTTAAGTTTCTCTGATATTTCTGCGGTCCATGTTCTGCGTGGTCGACCTCTGGGTCTCTGGGTCTGTTACCATTGTTTCTGTATAACATTGCTCTCTGTGGTGGCCTGTCTGCTGCCAGTCTTGTTACCATTTGATTTGTTGTCAACCTATAAAGTTTAGTATTGGTTCTGTGCCGATTCTCCTCCCGATATCCTCATTCCTTAGTCGATCTTTCCTCGTTACACCTAGCATAGTACTTGAACATTTGGTTTCTGTCGTCACTATTTTCCTTCTGTCACGTTGTCCTGCCTCCAATTTCATCAGCGCCGATGTCGCGTGTTCATTACTACACGACGACACAGCTTTTAACGACCTCAGAACGTGTAGAACTGGACCTAACCCAAACCCCCCTACAAACAGCCTGAGCCCAGGTCACACGAGACTCTTCTGAAAAAAAAAACCAGTTCAACCTTCTGACCTAGATCAGACTTTGAATGTAGATGGCCCGGAAAACGTGAATAGGACCAACATACCTCCTCCCCCGCTCCCTTTGTGTCACCTCCACTGACTATCACTGTGTCAACATAGCTCAGTGAATGAACGGCTGACACCCAACCTCCCCCCCCCTCCAAGGGAACAGCAATGACCTTTCGAGTGGTGTATTTTTATACCGATAAGCTCTCCGTGTTTAGGAAACTAATAGCCTGGCATTAAGGTTGCTACTATACAAAATTAGCCTGCAAAATATCAAACAAGCAGAGGTCAGGCTAAACAACTCCAGTCGATGACTAGTTTGGCACGCGAGCTGACATGAACTTTCTGTGGCGTAGACCAGGCGTCTAAGATCTGTGGCAAGCGTGCCGATCGCGGCATGTGAAACTATTTTCAGTGGCACGCTGAGGTAATAGAAAATAAGCACATGATCTTGTGCTGAGACCGGCCGAAGCGATTAACGATTAAAATGAATAGAACGAATAGTAAATCTAAAGTTACCCTTGTAAGTCATGTGACTATAGTGGACTTCCAGCTACTCGAGGAACACGATGCGTCGAGAGAACCTTTCGCATTTCAATATAATTTATTCTGATTTTTGCGCTTCTGTATATGTTGATGTATTTGTAGCAGTGCGCCTGGCGAGATACAGCTAAATATTTCTAGCCATAAATTGTAAACTGCATTGTAAATTCTGAAGTATTTCAATAAAAAAATTTAATTCTTTAACTTAACCAAAAAACTGAACAGATGAATATAAATCTTTGAAAGATATAATTGTTTTGTTTCAATAATTGTATATAAAATATCCAGTCAGTCAGTCAGTAGCCTGTCTTTTGCAGAACCTTGCTACCAAAGCAACCTTCCATAAAACTTCTCGATCACAAGCAAGATGTCCCGCGTCCGATACACCCATTTGGAGATCATCCGCCACATCTTGCACCCATCTTCTCTTTGCCCTTCTTCTTCCTCTCTTTCCAGGCATATCCCCTCCATTATTGTTCTCTCTAAACTTTCGTGACGTTTAAAGTGACCTAAATATTTCAAATTTCAGGGTTTTATCGTCTTTAATTGCCAACCTTCTCGAATATTCAGTTCTTGAAGTATGGATGCATTTGTTCTTGTCTTTACCCATGATATTCTTAGAACCCGTCTATACCATTTGTATTCTAAGGCATTTATGCACTGTTCAGCATGTTTATTAAGTGGCCAGGTCACACAGGCGTAGGTTGCAATGGAACAGATGCATGCTGTCCATAACATATTGGTGGACTTATAAACTCATGATTTTAACATTCTCACACAGAACTTTCTGTTGCACTAGACTGATTTAGCTGTAACGAGTCCCTCAGTTATCTTGTTTGTTTAGATGTGAAAAAAAGACTAGAGATGATACTCACCTTGGCTTTGGTCCCATCGGCCCCTGTGTAGTCGAAAGGTTCTCCCAACTTGAATACAAACTCCAGCTTTATGGCCCCGTAGTCTATTAATGATCTGGAGCAGAAAGTCAATGTTCAAGTGAGTACTCTTCTGTTTATATCCTCAACATTATGATCATCATCATCATCATCATCATAAAAACAAAAGCAACAGCAATGCTACAACAACAACAACTACTACTACTACAAGAACAAGAACAACTACTACTACTATTACTACTACTACAACTACTACTACTACTACTACTACTACTACTACTACTACTACTACTACTACTACTACTACTACTGCTGCTACTACTACTACTACTACTACTACTACTACTACTACTACTACTACTATTACTACTACTACAAACTACTACTACTACTGCTACTACTACTACTACTACTACTACTACTACTACTACTACTACTACTACTACTACTACTACTACTACTACTACTACTACTACTACTACTACTACTAAACCCAAGTAAAAAGACAAGTTGCATCCTAACGAGGAGGCGGTGGACGAGACAAGAAGACAGAAAAAGAGTATGTTGAATGCAAATAGGAGTAAGAAGAATGTACAAAAAAGAAAAAAAAAGAAAAAAAAAAAAGACGACGATAATGATGATACTGATGAAAGTGTGAAAAGTTTTCCCTTACAGTCATCTCAGTAATTTCCAATTATCACCAGGTTGTGTACATCTTTGGAGCTGCCGTGGTATAGTGACTAGACGCTCGCCTGCGGATCTGAAGGTCGTTGTTTCAAATCCGCAGGGAGTTGGGATTTTTTCAACACTACCTTGGCTCAAAGGTCGATCCAGCCTAAAATTGCTGCCAGGCGAAGTCCTTGGAAGTAAAGGCGGCCGGAGGGATGTCGATCACATTACCCACCCAGTGCTGATTGATCTATAAAATAAATGGGTCTAGCCTCTGGTTTTTCGTCTACTTCTGGACTGCAGTCCTGTTCAAAAACCTGAGTGTTGCGTGTGCATCCGGTTTACAGATCTGACTCATTTGTAAGCAGACTGCTGGTTCCATGCCTTTCAGGCAGATGCACTTCGACTTCAAAAGAAGCTCCCAGTTAGTCGACTTTTACGACATGCTTTTGTGTAGGCAGTGGGTCTATTCTTGTTTTCCCGATACAGGGCCCCGGAACCCATACAGGGAGATAGGTATTCTACTAACACAAGGACAGTCAGTTTAAAAACCTAGATTTTCTATTATTCTTTCCAAGTGACTAAGAAATGGTCGACCATACAAGTCTCAGTACTACCAATAATTGCTCTTTACAAACATTTTCCTTATCCAACTCACCTAGTTTTGTCTCCAGCGGCTTCTACTAACAATGTGTAATCTAGAGACGAAACCATTTTTTGCTTTTCTTCTGTCCAACCTGAAATAACGTGTGTAAGAATGTGTGAATGAGGCATTAGGTGGGAAAAAGAGGGAGGTATGAAAGGAAGAGAATGACGTCTGTATTCCTGTACGTAAAATGTTGAAGGTAGATGAATACAAACTAGTTCTGCTAACAAACACCAAATAACTTGTCACCGGAAATGATTTGGAAGCGTATATTACTGCTGAAGAAGACATTGGTAATCATAATGTTAACTGCATTCTTTGGTCATGTGATGACAAGAAGAACACGAGTACATCGTGACAGTAGGCAAGTTGGACGGGAGGAGAGGCAGAAGGAGACCGAGAGAAAAGATACTGGACAGTTAGACATCATGGCATTAAGGAACATCTGTGTCAGAATTGACTAAAAGTACACGAGATAGAAGGTAGTGCAAAGGTATGACTACCAACATCACGCGCCATGGACTTTAGGAGGAAGAAGAATGTTTAACTTATTCACTAGCAAGAAACTCATCAAGTTTCCATACATATTTGTATTTCTTAGAAACATTTTTTAGGCATTTCTAGCATGTTCGCCTAGGCAACCTTAAGACCTGTAAACCGTGAAGCCGTTCAGAGGTCTCAGGTAGTTAGCGTAGTTGGACATTTGCTTCAGGTTATGCCGGTGTGTCGGGAAATGAGCAGCCAGATAGACTGATTGGCTCAAGCACAACTTGGTGGTGAATTGATGTATGAAAAGCTCTCTTTGGGTGCTCGTGCGGTGGCACACACAGATCATTATGGTCTAAGGAGAATGGCGCTACCAAGGGATCTGGCCGACGCTCAACACTCAAGGGAAAGACAAGACGGATGTACAGTCATCCAGACAGTTACTGGAATCGGAACTTGTAGCTTGCTGTTGAAAATGGGGACGGAGCGATCTATGGGAGTGCCCCATGGGAGTGCTATGATTTTGATTCTTAATTCAATATTCAAAATTTTTATGTGTATGTGTTTTTTTAAAGTTGTTTTGGATTAAAAAATTAATTTTATATTTAAAAAAAAAGTAAACAGAAACAGTGAGATAACAGTATATATCCAGAAAAAGAGCCTGGGCTATGACTGTTTAGAACGTTTCCCATGCACGAACTCACCCAACAGTTTTCCTATCTCTGCCACACCAACAGTTTTCTCCAGCTGAACTTTCCAGTTACCATAGAAACTCTCCATTATTAAAGCTGCAATGGAAAGATAATCAGTATTGTATCATTTGCATAAACTGAGCGCATTTCTCTAGCATTCCACACACATGAGCCGTCGTGGTGCAGCGGCTACAACCTCGCCTGCCCGTCTCATGGTCGTGAGTTCAGGTCCTAACGCAGCATACTTTAAAAAAAATTGAAGTTGGCTCCAGGGTCGACCCAGCCTCAAATGTGTACCAGGTAAAGTAGTGGGAAGTAAAAGCGGCCGCTGTGATGTTGACCACAACACCCACGGAGTACCGATTGGTTTATAAAACATAAACCCAACCATATGTGGCCAGCACGTCTGGAGGTGTGGAAAAGAGTCCTTGACTTTTTCTTTTTTTCAACTTCACACGCGCGAGTGTGCATGATGATACACGTTATGCTGACAGCTCCCCCTTCCCCCTCCCCCCCCCCCCCCCCCCACTTTCCATTCACAGTGACAGCTACATGGTTAGCTGCGTTTTTTTTTTAAACTTTTATCCAAGGCTGTTTTTAGATCTGATGAGGTCCTAACTAAACTACAAGCCGCAAGCCGCATTGCCCGCAGCTGGGATCGAACCCGGCATCCTGGCATTACGAAGCGTTCGCATCGACTTAGCCACAGAGCCGGCTTTAAATATATGGATAGTGAAAATATTTTGTTGTTGAGTTTTTATTTTGAAATAACAAAATTTTTAATGGGTTCGAACAATAACAGAATTTACATTATATAATTCCCGTAGTAAAAGAAAATTGTCTGTAAAATATGTTAAAGGAATACTGTGGATTTCCAATATTCACCCATGCCAGTATTCGTCTTTTTTTCTGAAATGCAGAGGGGAGGCATAGATAGATCATTACGGTCTGAGGACAAGGGCAATGCGAGGAGTTATCAGGGGCTCAACAGTCAAGGGAAAGGCGAGACGGATATACCGACTGTTACTGGTACCATCGGAATTGGAACTCTTCGCTTTTTGCTGAAGATGGAGACGGAGCGCCAGTAGGAGTGCCCCAGAAGCTATGGTTGCGATTCTTAATTCAACATTCAAAAGTTCTGTGGCAACATCTAGTTTATTATTTCGTTATTTTGTAAATATTAGCCTTCCCTCCCCCAGAAACGGATTAATTTACGGACATTACTAAATATTGGGGGAAAAAAAGAAAGGAATGTATTTTTAAGGCGACAGTCACCAGCGTTGTCTTACCTAATGAAACTGGTGAACTGTACGACGAAGTCGTGACACGAACACATGCCCGTCAGAGCACGAGGCAAATACCTTGACGATTTCGCCACTGATATATATACATATTCGTAATGCCAGGGCAATGGCAAACTACTGGACGTAGATTTGCCTAGACAAACCACAGCAGCCAAAAAAAATGGTAGGGTTGGTTCTGAAATATCCTGTAAGTCCAGTAAAGGATACACAACTTACTTTATCTCTCTCTCTCTCTCTCTCTTTTTCGTTCTCTCTCTCTCTAATATATATATATATATATATATATATATATATATATATATATATATATATATATATATTTACATACACACACAATATATATATATATATATATATATATATATATATATATATATATATATATATATATATATATATATATATATTTATATTTATACACACACTGTTCGACCCAATTTTAAACAGGTAGAAGGAAATTTCATGTCAAATAAGGCGGTCGACGTGATACTGACCACATTACACCTTGCAGGGAGGTTGGTCTATAGTAAATTAAGCTTGCACAATAAGTCCAAAAAGGCAAAATGTCATAAATTAGGTTCAGGATTTTCATTAGGTGGATGGACGCATTTCCAAACGATAGCATGTCTCTGCATATCTTTGCAACATTAACAGCAGCAATAACAACAACACAACAACAACAATGACAACAACATAAACCAAAAGAAGCAAGAAGCAGGGACAAATCATTATTGCGTCCCTGCAAGAGTTGGATAAAGGAGATAATGAATGCAATAAATGTCACCGTGATTTGGAAACTTGCCAAAGCTCGTTCTTCTGTAAATTATTATTCTGCTGCTGACAAGTAATAAGAAAAGCAAGGAAGAAGAAGAAGAAGAAGAAGAAGAAGAAGAAGAAGAAGAAGAAGAAGAAGAAGCAGGCGGATGCCGATGAGACGTAGGAGGGTGAGGGGATCAGGAGGGAGAGGTAAAGGAAAATAATAATAAGAAGAAGACGAGGAAGAAGAAGAAGACTGAGGAGGAGGAGGAGAATGAAGAGAAGGAGAGGGATAAGGAGGAGAAGAAGAAACAGAAGAAGAAGGAGGAAGAGGAGAAAAAGAAGAAGAAGAAGAAGAAGAAGAAGAAGAAGAAGAAGAAGAAGAAGAAGAAGAAGAAGAAGAAGAAGAAGAAGAAGAAGAAAAAGCCAGATAATAGGAAAAAAAAGTGAAAGGAAAAAGAAGAAAAGGATGGCATTGGCGATACAATTTATGATAATTACGGCAACGATAACGGACACAAAAATGGGGGGAAAGGGGGGGGGGGGAGGGGGAGAGGAATACGGCAACACAAACACAACAAATACACGTTCATTTCAGAATGTTAGTGAAATTACCGTTAGGTGTAATTCTTACAAGAAAGCTCACAAGGTTAAAAATAATATCAACAAGCTAGCAGTTTCTCTCCTCACGTCATTTCAAGTGCTCTCTTGTATATTCTGCTTATTTTTCACTCAAGTGCGTGCCACACGGCAAAAGTTCATTAACCCCCTTGAGTCTTACTGATTCAGCAGCGGTTCAAATGGGGCAAAAACCCCTCTGTACAATCAATCTTTAGTACACTACTTTCACAGAGGAGAATACACATAGGGAATCGCTGCTATTCTTCTGCCTCTTCTGCCTTTCTATCCCCAATGGAGCATAGGCCCTCAACCAACTCACGCCAAGTCGTTCTATCCTTCGTCATTGCTTGGAGCTCTCTCCATGTTCTCCCCATCTTTATAACTTCATTCTCCAGCTCTCTTCTCCATGTGTTTTTTGGCCTTCCTTTATTCCAATGCCCCTGTGGGTTCCAATGCAAAGACATTCTAGTTATGATGTTCTCCTGTTTTCTCAGTGTGTATTCTATCCAACGCCAGCGTCTTTTCCTCACCTCTTGGTCCACTGGAGCCTGTTTAGTTCTCTCCCAAAGTTCTACATTAGTTATTCTATCATACCATTTAATTCCCTCTATTCTGCGCAGGCACCAGTTAATGTCTGTCTGTAATAATCGCTGATATGGAAGCCAGATATTTTTTTTTAGCATTCTCAGATAAAATATAAAATATAGGAGAACACACTAAGCGATCAAAGAGGTAAATACACAACGGGAATCGCCGCTATGGAGGCCAAATTTATTTTTTTAGCATTCTCAGATCACATTTAAAATTTAGGAGAACACAAATATTTCCATGGGCACCTGTGGAAAGGTGCCCCAGACAGCAGAGCATGTACTCCAGGACTGCACCGAATTTGACACATTAAGGCAAACCTTTTGGCCGGAAAGATAAACAGTGGAACGTAAACTCTATGGAGCACTGAATGAACTAACAACGACAGAGAAATTTATACAAGAGACAAAACTGCTGATATAGACAACTTATTTCAGGCGAACGAAAGAAGAAGAGAAAGAAGAAAGAGAACACACTAAGCGATGGTAGATGTTCAATGAGAGTAGTTATTTACACACACGTCGTTGTTTAGGATGAGCATCGTTTAAGTCAGTGGTTAGCTCGGAATGCTGAAGGAGAAGAAGTATACAATGTATAGTGAATCTGTGTGAAGCCAAGGACACAAGTTAAATCTGCTGTTTGACAATACAGAAGTCAAGTTTACTTTCTGTTTTACTTTCTGTTAGCACGGAAGTCCAGCATACTTCGCAACAACGCATAAGTCAAGCTTACTCTAAAACCACACAGAAGTCAAGTATATTTTAAAAGCTTTCTTAAAAAACCACGCCCTGTGTTGAGAGGCAGAAGAAGCTCATTGGGATTCGTAGCTAAAGAGAAAAGACGTCGCTTAATGCGACAGAGCCTGGCAAATGACACCACAGCATGGAGGTGGAGGCAGCCACTGAAGCCTTCTGTTAGCTTGAGAACCGGTTGTAAACACATGTTGTAATTGTAATCGACTCATAGAGCAGGTAGAGAATGGTGGAGATTAGTATGCTACGTGAAGAGTGGCAAGCATCGCTTCAGAGTTCCCGGGTAGTTAGCGTCCTTTGGATATTTTCTCCAGGATATGCCAGAGTATTAAGAAATGAATAAACAGACTGGTTCTGCACAACGTGGTGGTGAATTGACGCATGAAAAACTAGATGTTGTAGATGTCCTGCTGGGGCAAGTGAACAGGTTTGAAGCACAGATGGATCATCTCGGTTTGAGGAGAATGTTGCTGCCAAGATCGACTATGGAATCTGGCGGACGATCAACATTCAAGTGAAAGGCGAGACAGATATACAATCAGACTATTACTGGTACTGTGTGAAAGATTAGTGTTTGAAAGGGCCGAATGTAAGATGGGGCTGCGTGTCCAATTTATAACCCTTTGGAAATAAAGTTAGTTTGCTCGTTCCCTCATCTCCCGCCACCAATTTAGTGGAACACAAAAACAGACCCATAGCCTCCCTAAAAGGCATGTCGTAAGAGCCAGCTAATTAGGGAAAGAGGGAAAGGGGGCCCTTTAAAGTGTGAGTGCATCTGCCTGAGAGGCAACGAACCAACAGTCCGCAGACGAATTATGAAAATCTGTCAAACGGATCTGCATGCGAAACTCAGATTCTGGAACAAGACTAAAGTTCCGAAATAAATAAACAACCAGAATCTTCCGCCGGAGTTTACAGCCGGTGAACGCGAAGAAGAAGAGAACTCCCTCACCTACTCAATTTGTCTCTTATTCTTTCACTCTCCTGTTTTCCCAGGCCTCTCACTTATTCTTCATTTATTTTCTTACTTACTCAGTCACACACACGTACACACACACACACACACA